AAAAGGGTGGCTTGCCACCTCCGGGTCGGGGGAGAGGTCCTACCTCAAGTGGAGGAGTTTAAGTATCTCGGGGTCTTGTTCACGAGTGAGGGTAGGAGGGATCGGGAGATCGACAGGCGGACTGGTTCGGCGTCTGCAGTGATGCGGACGCTGAGCCGATCTGTCGTGGGGAAGAGGGAGCTGAGCCAGAAAGCCAGGCTCTCGATTTACCGGTCGATCTACGTCCCAATCCTCACCTATGGTCATGAGCTTTGGGTAATGACCGAAAGAACGAGATCGCGGATACAAGCGGCCGAAATGAGTTTCCTCCGTAGGGTGGCCGGGCTCAGCCTTAGAGATAGGGTGAGGAGCTCGGACATTCGGGAGGGACTCGGAGTAGAACCGCTGCTCCTCCGGATCGAAAGGAGCCAGTTGAGGTGGTTTGGGCATCTGGTCAGGATGCCTCCTGGACGCCTCCCCGGGGAGGTGTTTCGGGCATGTCCTGCCGGCAGAAGGCCCCCGGGTCGACCCAGGACACGTTGGAGAGGTTACATCTCCAATCTGGTCCGGGAACGCCTTGGGGTCCTACCGGAGGAGCTGGTGGACAAGGCCAGGGAGAGGACGGCCTGGAGCTCCCTAATTGGGATGCTGCCCCCGCGACCCGGACCCGGATAAGCGGAGGAAGACGACGACGACGACGACGACGTGTCTCTTAAATAAAAAACATGTCGATAAACACATTTTACTGTTGACATCAAATCTAGAGATTTTAATTTCATTCATTTTAGAAATGACATGATTTTAGAAACACCTGAGTAAAGACTGCAAATAATAAATGAATGAGAAAATAAATAAATGTTCGAAAGCAGAAAAACACCAGCTTAAATATTTAACATTTAAACATGAAATAAATTCGCAGCAATTTAATATTAAAGTCCTTTAATCTCAGTATTAACCCGGAGCATAAACAGGCGCGTTTATGGTTCATAAAGTGTAAATATTAAACCTGCGTCAGATAACAGCAGCAATAACCTTCATGCTGTCGGACAGATCCACTCATTCACCCATTCACTCTTTCACCGCCTGCAGCTCAAACAAAAACCCAACAAAGCATCTGAATCTGAAGACTTCAGCCATGAATGCGTCACATAGCAACACATGAAGGGGACCTGATTCACTCCGACGGATCGATAATTAATCGATGACAGGAAAAGATGCTAGCGGAGAGGCGAGGGAACAGAAGCGGCTTTACCTTTAAATAAGAGCTAGATTCGGTTTAACGGTCCGGGTTCGGGCGGGTTTCAGAGCTTCTCCTTGGCCTGTGTTAAAATGAAAGCATTCGGTCATTCTCCATCCCGGACAACCGCAGCAGCCATCTTGATCAGAAAGAATAAAAGCCGAGAGCCGAGAACAACAGCGCAGCCAATCATAGCCCGCCCCCGCGTCAGGTTAGCCAATCTACGGCCAGCACTTCTGCCTAACCCTGTCAAAATAAAAGTTTAAAACGACCATTTCCGGTAAAACGATAACTCACCAGTGATGTTTATTTCGATGTTCGTTTTTGTAAATTGTAGTGTCTGGGAACTAAACTTATTTTCAATCAAGTCATGATTAAAAAAAATAAAAAATTAGAACAAAACTAAGTTAGTAGGCTAGTAAATACTGTAAAACGTGGCTTCTAGTTTAAAATAATTGTCAAATTCACTCTTTACGTGCTTTGTTGGAACAGTCCACAGCTCAATCTCATAATCTGAAGGTCATGAGTCAGAGCCTCTAGTTTACCTTTGGTAAACCAGTCAGAAACTCTAATCAGTTCTGCTGTTTACACACCTCTCTCTTCTGTTCAAGACACTCAAAAGATATTTAATCTCATTCCTTTGTTCCTGATTTAAAACAAGAATATCCTGAAAGTGTTTTGTGAATTTTAATTTTCTGCATTATTATTATTGTTGAGCTGTGTGTGTGTGTGTGTGTGTGTGTGTGTGTGTGTGTGTGTGTGTGTGTGTGTGTGTGTGTGTGTACCTTTTCTTCTTTTGCAACATGTTTGTATTAAAACACAATAAACATTCACTTAAAGTATTTAAAAAAACAACATTTATTCACATTTACAAAAATCAAACATGAAGTCCAAACAAACAATTATCAACCCTACAGATGGGTGGACGGTTTCCCATCCCAATGTCACATTTATCCACAGATTCATCCTCACGTCTTCAACCTGGAGTCATGGAGGGAAGCCAACAGTAGAAGTACTAATGTAAAACATACAGCTATATCTAGATCGTTTGGTTTAGTAAAGAAAAGAAGAAAAAGACTCAAAAACACTGATGGGAAGTACAACACCAGAGCCACGTAATACTAACAGTGGTCAAGAGAAAAGCTAAATTAAATAACTCAAATCTGAAGTTTGTCTGAAAATAGCATTTACAGGTGCTAGAGAGCAAACTGTCCACCGCAGATCTCAACTGGATTAGCTGGATCAGATGTTAGCTAATCAGCCTAAAACAAACGTCTGCAGCTAAACGAAACTACTGGTTATCACGGTTGAACTGCTGAAGAAGAGACACATTTCTGTTGTTAGTAAAAATAAACAGATTTATATACCTAAACAGTTTTCTGTGGTAACATGTAAAGCAGCCAAGAATTATGGAGTTAATTTAGTTTTTTATTAATCATTCAAAAAAGTAATTTCAACAAAAGACAAAGTTAAAACAAAATAATGAAAAATGGAATGCAAAAAAAAAAAAAGAATTAATTAAGTTTACCTCTAAACTTTTATGTCTATTTAAAGCTGAATTAGAAATCAAACCATTTTCTATCAGAGTCAGAAAGTTTTATTTTCAAAAGGAAAAAATCTTCGTTCATCTTCTTCGTCTTCCTCCGCTTATCCGGGTCCGGGTCGCGGGGGCAGCATCCCAATTAGGGAGCTCCAGGCCGTCCTCTCCCCGGCCTTGTCCACCAGCTCCTCCGGCAGGACCCCAAGGCGTTCCCGGACCAGATTGGAGATGTAACCTCTCCAACGTGTCCTGGGTCGACCCGGGGGCCTTCTGCCGGCAGGACATGCCCGAAACACCTCCCCGGGGAGGCGTCCAGGAGGCATCCTGACCAGATGCCCAAACCACCTCAACTGGCTCCTTTCGATCCGGAGGAGCAGCGGTTCTACTCCGAGTCCCTCCCGAATGTCCGAGCTCCTCACCCTATCTCTAAGGCTGAGCCCGGCCACCCTACGGAGGAAACTCATTTTGGCCGCTTGTATCCGCGATCTCGTTCTTTCGGTCATTACCCAAAGCTCATGACCATAGGTGAGGATTGGGACGTAGATCGACCGGTAAATCGAGAGCCTGGCTTTCTGGCTCAGCTCCCTCTTCCCCACGACAGATCGGCTCAGCGTCCGCATCACTGCAGACGCCGAACCAATCCGCCTGTCGATCTCCCGATCCCTCCTACCCTCACTCGTGAACAAGACCCCGAGATACTTAAACTCCTCCACTTGAGGTAGGACCTCTCCCCCGACCCGGAGGTGGCAAGCCACCCTTTTCCGGTCGAGAACCATGGTCTCAGATTTGGAGGTGCTGATCCTCATCCCAGCCGCTTCACATTCGGCCGCGAACCTACCCAGCAAGAGCTGAAGGTCAGAGCTGGATGAAGCTAGGAGGACCACATCATCCGCAAAAAGCAGAGACGAGATTCTCCTGCCACCAAACTCGACACACTCCACACCACGGCTGCGTCTAGAAATTCTGTCCATAAAAGTGATGAACAGAACCGGTGAAAAAGGGCAGCCCTGGCGGAGTCCAACCCTCACTGGGAACAGGTCCGACTTACTACCGGCTATGCGGACCAAACTCACGCTCCTCTGGTAAAGGGACTGAATGGCCCTTAACAGAAAGCCACCCACCCCATACTCCTGGAGCGTCCCCCACAGGGTGCCCCTGGGGACACGGTCATAAGCCTTCTCCAAATCCACAAAGCACATGTGGATTGGTTGGGCAAACTCCCATGCCCCCTCCATCACCCTTGCAAGGGTATAGAGCTGGTCCACAGTTCCACGGCCAGGACGAAAACCACATTGCTCCTCCTCTATCTGAGATTCAACTATCGATCGGATCCTCCTCTCCAGTACCTTGGAGTAGACCTTTCCAGGGAGGCTGAGGAGTGTGATCCCCCTATAGTTGGAACACACCCTCAGGTCACCCTTCTTAAAGATGGGGACCACTACCCCGGTCTGCCACTCCCTAGGAACTGCCCCCGATGACCACGCAATGTTGTAGAGACGTGTCAACCATGACAGCCCTACAACATTCATAGCCTTGAGATACCCAGGACGAACCTCATCCGCCCCCGGGGCTCCGCCGCTGTGTAGTTGTTTGACTAGCTCAGCAACTTCTGCCCCCGAGATCGGACAGTCCATCCCCAGGCCTCCCAGCTCTGGTTCCTCCTCGGAATGCGCATTGGTGGGATTGAGGAGCTCCTCAAAGTATTCCTTCCACCGTCCGACTATAGCCTCAGTTGACGTCAGCAGCTCCCCATCCCCACTGTAAACAGTGTGAGCGAGTTGCTGCCTTCCTCTCCTGAGGCGCCGGACAGTTTGCCAGAACCTCTTTGGAGCCGATCGATAGTCTTTCTCCATGGCCTCACCAAACTCCTCCCACGCCCGAGATTTTGCCTCGGCAACTGCCACTGCTGCACCCCGCTTGGCTATCCGGTACCTGTCTGCTGCCTCCGGAGACCCACAGACCAGCCAAGCCATTTTCAAAACCTGAACATTTTGCTTGTGCATCTCCATTCTTTGCTCTCAAAACCTTTTAGTTGTTGTCACGTTGTACAAACGTAAATGTTCCTCTACCGTTCGTAATGTTACGTCTTTAACCTTTGTGCTGGCGGACATCAGCCAATGAAGACAGGCCTTTCATCTTCCACAAAAAGGCCTTGCCCACAACCTTGTTTGCAGTTTTTTAGAATTTGGTTTCCTTTTTTTTTTTTTTTTTTTCAGTTTTGGTACTTTTTTGTAATTAATAAAGAAACAAAATTAACTCCATAGAAATGAAACATGAGGTGTTTTATATTTTAATCTTTAAATGCTTCCAGATGTTTTTGTTAGTTGCTCCTTTTTCACACTAGAATAAACACCTCCGACTGTTTTCCTGTGTTGGATTTTAGTGACCATGGAAAAAAGTGTTTAACACAAGTAATATTTTTGAGCTAAGTTTCATCAAATCCAATAAGAAGGTCTTCTGACACACATCCAGCTGGAATGCTGAGAGTATTATCCAGATGTTTGTAATAATATCAGAGGATTAGGTGGGGTTTGAAGTTTTATGGAGTTATTTAAATGCTTTAATCTGTAGAGCCTAACCACCAAACCCCACACCCCCATCAAAGCCATGATCACTGCCTTCAGAATAAATTTCAAAATAAAAGCAGCCAATACTTGATGATTGTTCTCATGGAGAAGAAACGTGATCTGTGCAGCATCACAGTTCACATTAGAAAGTTAGATCTGGGTTTCAGGCAAAATTCTGCCAAGATAAAATCACACAAACCTGAACTGTAAACTCACCGAGGCGACTTCTAACAAGCAGCATTTCGCTTTTCTGGTGCAACTCATAAGAACTAAGGTGACTGAGTGGAACGATAATTGGCACTTTTCTTTAAAAGGAACTTTTTTAAATATTCTGAAGTTTAAACGAGTCAGACTTTTATTTATTTAATGATCCAGCTGTTTTATACACGTGTGGTTTCGTTTTAACTGCGTTGATCAGCAGGTTTCTGACCGGAGGAAGATGGAGTCAGTTCAACACCATGGCAGTGTAGCTCTTACCGATCACACACAGCTGCTCCGTGTAAACTCACGTTATTTATTTTCTCCAATGGCAGATTTTTCCTGAATCTGTCAGTTCTGGCAGTCAAGCTTCCTCTGAAAAAAAAATACGACCCAGGACCTGCTTCATCCTCACCTCCTCTGAATCCAAATAAAACCGTTTTGGCCGTTGTGTTTCTGTACCTAATTCAGCAGGAAGGTCACTGGGCCTGTTTGGCTCCTCGTCCTTCCACACAAGTCCATGAAAAATGAAGTAACGGCTGACTTTTGACCTCCGTCTCATGATGCTTTTTCTTTCTGTGCGTAGGTGCCGTCTGCAGCCTCCAGTGTCTTCTGGACCGCATCCTGAGGACTGCTTTCCTGCTGCACTTTGAGGCGCAGGTGTTTGGGTTTGACGGGCATCGCCACTGCCAGGAGGATGCAGAGGATGTGGAGGCTGAAGTACCACGACCTGCAGAGCAAGCAGCTTGGTTAGAGTTCATAAACCCAGTTAGACCGGGTTACAGAAGTCAGAATAAAATAAAAGCTGATGGGTTCATATCTGAGTTCAGACTGGCTCAATCTCAGTGAAACACACATAAACCCGAGGCAAATGTCAGCAGATCCCATGAATCTGATCTCAATCATAATTTAAAGGGATCTGATGACGACTGACCAAAGGACACATGAGCAACACCTGACAGGAATGAGTTGGACTCAACCTGAAACCCACCAAGTCTGAGCCTAATGACAGGTGATTTACCTGCACTGCTGCACTGACCTGTAAAACTTTAAAGATGGACACACAGACAACAGGACAAAAGGAACCACAGTGTAGCAGATGGCGATCTGAGTGGCCGCCCAAGTGATGACATCATACACCAATTTATGGGTGGCAGACTGAAGGAAGTACGGCCGGACTTTGTGACGGACCTACGGGGAAAAACACGTAGTTTCAATTGGCAACAATAAACGTACTTCATCCATCCATCCATCCATCCATCTAATCACATCCATCCATCCATCCATCCATCCATCTAATCACATCCATCCATCCACTCATCTAATCACATCCATCCATCTAATCACATCCATCCATCTAATCACATCCATCCATCCATCTAATCACATCCATCCATCTAATCACATCCATCCATCTAATCACATCCATCCATCCATCCATCCAATCACATCTTTTCATCCATCCATCCTTCCATCCATCCATCATCCATCCATCCACCCATCCAATCACATCCATCCATCAATCCAATCACATCTTTCCATCCATCCCACCAGCCACATTCATCCATCCATCCAATCACATCTTTCCATCCATCCATCCATCCATCCATCCATCCATCCATCCATCCATCCATCCATCCATCCAATCACATCTTTTCATCCATCCATCCTTCCATCCATCCATCATCCATCCATCCACCCATCCAATCACATCCATCCATCAATCCATCCATCTAATTACATCCATCCATCCATCCAATCACATCTTTCCATCCATCCCACCAGCCACATTCATCCATCCATCCAATCACATCTTTCCATCCATCCATCCATCCATCTAATGACATCCATCCATCCAATCACATCTTTCCATCCATCCATCCATCCATCCATCCATCCAGTATTCCAGCTCACCGCTCTGGCAGCCAGTGTGACCACGATGCCGGTGATGAAGGTGAGGTAGTATCCTGGATAGGCGCCGTGCCACATGGCCGACAGGATGAAGGTAGCTGCTGTTGGGTGGTAGGGACATCGCTCATAACACACCCTGTTTACCAAAGGTTAAAGGTCAGCCTAAAGCAAAATTCATTCATAGTTCATCAGGAAAAGACAGACATGTTTGTTTGTGTTTTAAAGCCTTTGGACGAACCGTTTGAGCCAGTGTACTGTCTGAATGTTCCAGTTATCCAGGAAAACTTTGAAACTGGTGGCAAACTGGAACAAAGCCAGAGTCTAATCAGTCAGACTGAAACTTTAAATGTGTTAAGGAGAAGTGTCCCTCATTCACCCAAAGCCCTACCTCAATGTTCAGGATCCTCAGGTTGGAGATGAGGTCCCAGCGGGGAACGCCGTTACTGTCGTAACCATTAAAACCAAAACCAGCCGCGTTGTTGATGGCGTCAGCTGTTCAGTGGGACAAACTCAGGTTAGACTAAAATCAAACAAGTCACCAGGTAACCAGGTAAAGGTGACTACCCACCGAGCGTCCACACAAAATAGTACTTTGGTCTGGTGGTCACCATGGACAGGTACAGGTAGCACACCTGAGCGTAGAACGGTGTGTTGGCAATGAAGTCGTCGTCAATGTTACGTTCTACGGGGAAAACTTTACACACCGACAGAAAGACCAGGAGGCAGAAGAAGGAGGTGGCCACTTTACGGACAACCTCCATCTGAGGAGACACACATTTAGTCTTGTTTAAGTTTCCATTGTAGCCGAAATCAAACTTTTTATCTGTAATTTTACAAAATAAAAGACCTGCGGCATCGCTAAAGCTTTTATTTTAATCAGTTGTCCTCTTTAACTTCTTATAAAGCTGAACCTTAAAATCCAACATGGCTGCCGCACAAACAGGAAGTGGTGCTTGTTCTATGGGTTTTCTTTGTCTTGGCCCTTGAAGACTTGTTTTTCAGACGTGTAAGACTTGACTTTCCCATCAAAGACGGTTTGACTTGGTCTTGGCTTTCAAGGACATGAACTTAACCCAACAGAACAAGGAACATCCCTGCTGTTATCGTTTAGGGACCAAAGCAGCAACCTACGTTTGGCGAAGGCTCGTCCAGCCTCAGCTGGCTCTTGGACTTCCTGTCGGCCTCCTGGTCTCGGTGGCGACGAGGGTCTCCCTCAATGAAGGCGATGTAGTCGTTATAGGAGCACGTGGGTCCGGCCAGAATTCCCATGAAGTTACAGTTGTAGCTAAAATACTCCAGCAGGCTCGGCATTCGCCTGAACACACAAACACACACGCACGCACACACACACACACGTACGCACACACAAACACACATGCACCCACGTACGCACACATGCACACACACACACACACACACACACAGACACAGACACACACGCACCCACGCGCACACATACGCACACACAAACACACACGCACGCACGCACACGCACACACACACGCGCGCACACACACACACACATCTAGATCAAGGTGAAGTGTCTGAAACGCTGCAGAACAGAGATAAAATCCTTTGGGAACAAAACTGCTTCAATCTCAGCTTCAAACACGATGGAACAAACCTTACGGCTAAAATCTTCTGTCCGGCTGTCAGATGTTCCTCTTGCCGAGCCATCCCTGTGAGGAAAACAGACACATTTACATTCCACAGCTCTGCGCGTCGACCATCAACCCGCTCCAGCTCTGGCCTACCATCATGGATCTCAAACGCCAGGCTGGTGATCTTCTGAGTTATCACCATCATGGGTCTGAAAGGAAACACCACTTTCACCTTTCACCTTCACCAACTTTCACTACAGATGATCTAAAGTGAGTGATGTGGGTTTTACCCGGTGAAGTCGGCTGAGTACATGCCATAGTCGAAGACGTAAACCCGAGTGATCTGGCACAGACTCAGGTAACTGAGGGCCACCACCAGGCAGTACCTGCAGGAACAGGAGGTCAGACTGAGTTCCTGACCATCATGAGTCAACGTCAGCCTGTGCACCTGGCTGCATCTCCTGAAGTCTAGCAGGAAGCTCTAAGGATTCACACCAAGTCCACATTGGTCAGAAGGTTTCTGGAGTTCTACCGAATAAGGAATCTCACTTGTGCATGTGCTCGACTCCGGTCACGATCATGATTCCGTAGGTGAGTCCACTCTGAAACAGGAAGTGAAGCGAGTACCTGGAAATCAGGAAGGAGCAGAGTCAAACCAGGAGCTTTTTAACCCTGGTGAGACGGAAGTATCACATTCAGGTTTACCAGCCAAAGCAGAACATGGCAAAGTAGAGTCCCAGTACGGTGGCCACCACGTGTCGGATGAAGGGACTGGATTTACTGGGATGGAGGAAGAGACGGAACCAGAAGGCTGAGATCAGAGCGCAGAGCTGACACACCACAAAGTTCACCTGCAGACAACGTAGAGGGAACAGAGACATCAGGGCGGGATGGGTTCGTCTCAGAGGGAGGAGGATGAGGAAGACTGTCCAGTCATCTCCGGTTTCATCCAACAGCTGCTTTAACCTTGTCTTTGATACAAAAGCTGAATGAATTTGATTTAAACTCCTCCAGAAAGCCAGAAGAACGTATCGATGCAAAAACACTTTAAAGATTTCTGGACTGTCTGGCTGCAGGGGAGAAAATCAGACACAATCCACGGTCAGATCTGGACCTTTGGACAGAACTGAGCTAAAATCTGCTTTATGAGTCGGTTTTCTGATGTTTGTGTTCCATTAACGACATTCCGGACATCCCAGACGCAGCAGGTCAGAGACCCAAACCGGTTGGAGGAGGTTTGTCCAGCTGGGTGGCTGATTTAGGTCCGCAGCTGGATCCAGCTGTTTTGTGAGACAACACCTGGAGAACTGGTACCAAAAACATGTCTGTTTGGGTTTTTTAATAAGAAAAGTACAAAACTGAAAACGGAAAATAGTTTGACAAGGATTAAAAAGCTCTTCATCTCTGAAATCCTCAAAAAGTCACAATAATAAACAAAAAGTTAAAAATTTAACTGAACTCAGAGACGAGTTTGTCTAGATTAGAGATGGCCGCCGGCTAGCACCCGCAAACACAAGGCTGTTAATTAATGCTGAATGGCCTGAATTATAGCGCCTTCTGGACTCCTGGAACCCCCCAAGACACTTTACAAACCCAATTAGTCATTCACCCATTCACACGCTGGTGGAGATGAGCTACAATGTAGCCACAGCTGCCCTGGGGCACTGACGGGGGTGAGGATGCTGAGTACTGGTGCCACTCTCTAAATGTCTTGCCCAAGGAAACAACAGCAGCATTCACCGATCAGACCCGGGATCAAACCTGCAACCTTCTGGTTACTGGACAACCTGCTCTACCTCCTGAGCTGCCGCTGTCCCATGAGTAGATGAGTCGGTTTTAATGAGTCGGTGAGTTTAAAGGAGTCCACTGATCTCAGGCTCAGGGGGAGAGAGTTCCAGAGTCTGGGGGCCACAGCAGCAAATGGTCTGTCACCTTTGACCTTTAGCCTGGTGCTGCACAACCTGTAGGCTTTGATCACTGGACCTCAGGGACCTGCTGGGGGTGAAGGGACTAAGAAGATCACCAGTATAAGATGGTGCTTGTCCATGTAAGGCCCTATAGACCAGAACCAGGATCTTGAAATGAACCCTGAAGTTGACTGGCAGCCAGTGAAGCTGGAGGAGAAGCGGGGTGATGTGGGTGTGTTTGGAGGACTTAGTCAGAAGCCGAGCACAGGCATTCTGAACCACCTGTAGATGGTTCAGGGAGGTTCTGCTCAGACACGTGAAAAGAGAGTTACAGTAGTCTAAGCGTGAGGAGATGAAGGTGTGGAGCACAGTCTCAAGTTCAGAGCGAGACAGAATGGGACTCAGCTTAGCAATGTTCCTGAGATGGAAGAAGGAAGAACGAACAAGAGAACTGACATGAGAATCCAGGGTGAGAGCTGGGTCAAAGGTCACGCCAAGATTCCAGACAGAAGGTTTGGTGTGAGAAGCAAGCTGACCAACAGTCTCTGACTTTGGGAACCAGCTTGTCTGGGGCACAGATGAGGATCTCAGTCGTATCTTCATTCAGCTGAAGAAAGCTCCCAGCCATCCAGGTTTTGCTAGAGTCTAAGCAGGTGTGTAACAGCTGCAGCATAGACATCTCATGGGGCTTGAAGGAGATGTACAGTTGGATGTCATCTGCATAAAGATGGTAGGAGATTCCTTTGAAGGAGCTCAGGATGTGCTGAAGAGGAAGCAGATAGAGGAGGAAGAGCAGAGGTCCCAGCACAGAACCTTGTGGGACACCATGGGTAAGGGAGGTGGTGGAGGACCTAAACTTGGAGACGGCCACAGAAAAGAAACGCTCAGAAAGATCAGAGGATAACCACTCCAGAGCAGTTCCTGATAGGCCTATCCGTCTCTCAGCCTCTCCAGTAGCAGGTGATGGTCAACAGTGTCAAAGGCTGCAGTCAGGTCCAGCAGGACCAGAGCAGAACAGTCCCCTGCATCACTGTGAGTCAGAAGGTCATTAGAGACCCTAAGAAGAGCTGTTTCAGTAGAATGAGCTCTACGAAAACCTGACTGTAAGCAATCATAGATGTTATGTTCATCAAGAGCAGCTGTGAGTTGTTTAGCCACAACCTTCTCCAAGATCTTCGAGATGAACGGAAGTTTAGAGATGGGTCTGAAGCTGCTATGGAGAGAGGGGTCAAGACTCGGTTTTTTAAGAAGCGGGTGGATTACAGCGTTCTTAAAGTAAGCAGGGACCTGACCAGAAACCAGAGAAGCATTAATTATAGAGAGCACGCTGGGACCGATGGACTGAAAAGCACTTTTAAACAAAGATGAGGGTAAGATGTGGAGGGGGCATGCAGAGGTCTTCATAGAGTTAACTAGTTTGGTTAACTCTGGTAAAGAAACAGGAGCAAAGCTATCTAGGATGATGGGCCTGGTTGGAGTCGGGAGAGGCAGCGCTAAGGCTAAAGGAGAGATGCTAGATCTAACCTTACTGACTTTGTCCACAAAGAAAGACAGAAAGTTCTCACAGGCTGCAACAGAGTGGATGGAGGCTGTAGGAGAGGCAGGAGAGACGATAATAATAGTCAGGATATAAAAATATCTTGCCTCTGATCAGCTCAGGCTAGGAATCTACTTGCTTTTTAACCTCATAGTGACACAGGCCACAGCCTGCGTTGTGATTTTAACATCATTGTGTTTCCATACATTAGTGACAGCGAGTTAGCAGAAGGCTTGTTTTTATTAAACATTCATGTCTGCTGTTGGTGATGATGATGATGATGATGATGATGATGATGATGAGCCTTATGTTGCATTCAGGAGCATCTGATCTGTCCGTAATCTGAAGCGATGTGTGTGTGTGTGTGTGTGTGTGTGTGTGTGTGTGTGTGTGTGTGTGTGTGTGTGTGTGTGTGTGTGTGTGTGTGTGTGTGTGTGTGTGTGAGTGAGTGATTACTCAGCTGACACTCGGCAGGAACGTCGGACCCAGACAGAGCTGGGATTAACGAGGTTTGATGGTTCTGAGGAGGTTTCTGATGGACCCAGAAGGATCTGAGCTGTGAGAGCAGCTCGTTAATTCCTAAAGAAATCCATTTTATGACTTCTTTACGGAGCTGTTTAACAAACGCTGGACTGTATCTTCTGAGGAGAGAATTTTCTTTCCCATAAGCTCCTTTGGTTATACTGCACCAGACAACAGGAATAACAAACACATTTAAAGAATTTTGATTTAACATTATTGTTTTTATATGTTCATCAAAACAAAACAGAATAAAACAAATTAAACGAAGCATTTAACTGAACTAAACCCTGAGTAAAAGTTTTAATCTGACTCTGATTTTCTCTAATCCGTTTGGATCAGGACTTCCACAGACTTCCTCAAGGACTTTCTCTTTGGATTTTAGCTGATTTTTCTCAGAGTTTTGGTGCAGAAATGGGCTGCATAACTCAAGGGGTGAGCCAGAGTTGTGTGCAGGCATCAGGCTGTCTGGGACCAGCACAAACACAACCTGCTAAAGGGTCTCGGGTCCTGGTTCTGGACCCTGGCTGTTCCATGAGCGGGTTGGAAAAGCAACGTGTCATCAGACATTGCCAGGCCAAACTACCACGTGATCCACCTGAACGGCCACAAGTCTGGCTCCCAGCCAATCAGAGCACAGCATAGTGTCCCTTTAATTAAACTGATTGAACTAATAACCCGATTATTCAAACTGTCGAAACATTAAAACAAGAAACTAAAATCACAGCAGCAAAAGGCTTTAAATAGCTAAGCTAAGCTAACTGTAGCATCAGATGCCATCCATCCATCATCCATTTAGGCCAACTTCCTGTTGGACTAAACACCTTCAGCTCATGTGAGCAAAGGTCAAGGTTCAAACTGGTTTTCACGACTGTTTTGAAACATGCTGAATACTGTGTTAACGAAAAAGTGATCCAAAACAATAATTTAAAAAAAGTCAAATGAGAAAAGGTGTGGCTTATCAGACGGGCAGAAGTGATGATGTAATTGTTTGACTCCGCCCACCTGATTGACCTGGTCAGTTATGAAAATCGGATTCACATTACTTTTTAAATTATTCTGGTTTAGAACAACACCAGTTTCATAGGACTACATTTATTTTAAGAAGAGAATTCTTATTCAGGAAGTAAAAAACCCCATATGGATGACCTGTTGCTGTGATGGTGAGTTCAAAGACTTGGGCCACTTCTCAGTACCCAAGGACGCACTACAATGTTCTTGGCAAGTACAGCAGAAAACCTGTTCCACCGAATACGGGAGGAGCAGAACCAGCGTCATGGCAAAAAGTGCAGCTTGTTGCTATGGTTACAAAAATGACCATATAAAAATAAAAGTCTAGTTTGTCCCTTAAATAACAACATAACAATGAACACTATATTTACATATTTTGGCCACTTCTGATCTAAACTGACGAAGTACCAGCCTTTCCTGCTGTTAAACGAAGAAAAAAACTTATTTTTCATCAAAACAGAGCTATGCTCTTATTTTGATAGTTGGCTAGCTTATTAGCATTTTGAGGGAGGTGAAAAGTCTGAAAAAAAAACACACACAATTATTTACAATAACAGCCAACTTTATATTTCTTTATCTGTATTTCTGATACAAAACAAGTTATTAGCGTTCTGCTCTGGTGTTGGGAGTATAGTGGTTTGTGACACAATGCATTATGGGATACTTTGCTGTTCCAAGTCATAAAGGCTGCATTGATTCATCCTAACGGGCGGATCAAGAACATGTCAGGACTTTGGGTGAACTTACAGGTCTGGAGCAGAACTTGGGCAATCGTTGATGACTGAGTACACAAGTTCAGATGAGTACACGTATTGAGAAACGACCAAGGAAAACGTTGTTGGCAGAGCTGCATTTAAACAAACCCCAAAAAGTTAGATTTTTGAGTTTTCTATCAGCTTACAGATCAGATGGAGAAGAACAGACGGCCCTGCGGAGGTACCAGGAGCCTTTTAGTTGGAGACCAGTCCTGGTCCTCCAGGGCCACTTTGGCTGTGATGAGGAGGTGCTGGAAGCTCCTCCTGGACCAGAACCGGACTTCTCTGCTGCAAAGCATCAAATATGTCAAGAGGACAACTGCATCCCTGTTTTTGTCTGTGGATGAAAAATATTCCAGAATTTCCAGATGAAATCTTTTAATTTTCTTGAATAATTTGGGTGTCTACAGCACAAATAAAGAGATTTGATTACTGCTGAAGTTTTCCTCCTGAACCACCTCTTCATCCTTATCCTCGGATGCAGCGACCATCCTCACATGTTCGGGTCGGTTCTGATCCAAACCAGCTGCAGACCCACTGATGTAACTGTTTATCGTCTAAAAGCCGCACAAAGAGGCTGAGATGCTCCTGAACATCCTCCCACAGCTGGACTGGGAGCAGAGCAGGCCTCCATCCATCCTGGACCCACGCACCGGCCGTCCCACCCGCCCTCTGCGCGCATCTTTTGTTGCAAACGCTCCTCGGAGCTCCAGAGCGGCCGCTGCCGGGCTCCGAGGCTCGGGCCCCGGCTCGATGCCCGGGTCTTACCTGGTCCAGAGGGAGGTTGGTCATCTCGCTGACCGGCTGCAGGAGGCTGGAGCCGGTGCAGGCCGTAGATTGGGCGCTTTCGTCGGCCATGGCTCCGGGTAAGCTGCTCTTGTATCCGGCTGCAGCGGCAGCTCAGTGATCCACCGGGAGTCGGCTCCGAATGTCTGCACAGTTCTTCCTGTTCCTCCTCCTCCTCACCCGTCTGTCTGCCTCCCCACTACGCCCTCTCCTCCCACCCCTCTTGAAAGCCCTCCCCTCATTTCTAACGATCATTTCCTAGTTCAGCATAATAAACAAGTTATTTTCAACCCCCCACCACTCCGTTATTTGATCTGTTAATGACGCAGTGAAGGATGGAGCTGCTTGATGTTTGCTCCCAGACCATCTGAGGCTCCCAGTCGGGAATACTGGAATCATTTGGTATTCCACAAGGACCAGTTTTAGAGTCCCTCTTGTTGAAAGAAGAGTTTTAATGTAAACCAAGACCCACATCTGATCAGAAACTGGGCCACCTTAGATCCTTGTGGCTGCAGTTTTCACACTGACGGGAGTTCTGAAGATCGGGATCAGAATAAACTGAACGTCTGAGGAGCTGGTGGCTCATGCTGACTCAGAAGAAGCTGCAGATGTGGACCACATGTGGGTCAGATCTAACCAGCTTTGATGTAGAAATATTAACCGTGGCTTTATTAACACATACACGTAGATGCCAATAAAACAAATATATATAATGGGTTTGTTTTCTTTCCTAAATGAAGTTTTTTTTCAGATTCTATTTAAAAATGATCCTCTCAGATCTTTGACATATAAACTCTTTCCTCTCCCCAAAAGTCTCGACCTAAAAACACAAACATGGAAATCTGAAAGACAAATAAGTTTTGAGATGAAGGAAACATTTTTAATCTTTTTTGTAAACATGAATGATTCATTTATCTGTAATTGTCCTTAACGAACTTTAAATCTTTGACTCGTTACAACAAAATGTTTCATTTATTTATAAATGATTTTCCCATGAACATCCAGAGCCCTGAGGACTGATGTGTATTAGTGTGTTAAAACACCAAATTAAACTTCCTTACTAATCAAATTTCCTGCAGAAGTTCTTCTCAACCTTATATTTTAAGAACCCTTTCATAACTCAGCGAAGAGTTTTGCACCCAGTCTAAACACCCAACGTCTAACTAATGCAGAGTGCAGTTTAGGAGCTTGCTTGTCTAACTTTAGTTATTCTGTGCTCTGAGATAAGAGGTCACCTCACATTAGAAGAACCGGGCCTCGTATGGAGCAGCAGGTCAGTTCAACCTCTGGCTCCAGGACAATTAGACCATCTACTGATAGGGAAAGCCACTGACACACTTTTGTTTTTGATATGAACAACATGACGATTGAGTTCCTGCTCGCTACAAGCCCGAGGAAACAAACCTCCCAACTACCTCCAAAAATGAAATAGTTGGCTTGCCTTAAATCTTCATTAAATCTTTCAACTTTATTTCACTGTTCTACTAGTTACTGTGTGATGTTTTCCACATCTGAAAGTTCTCACCACGAGGAGGATGTTTGTCCATGAAGTAATCTAATTCTGTCAAGACTTTTTGGAGGAAAACAAATCTTGAAATAGTTCAGTCCATTGTTTAGGTGACTTAGTTAAAAACGCAGAAGTATTATTTCATTTAATAAGAAAGAAATTGGAATAAACCGGAAACTGAAATGAATCTATGCCAGTTTATCTAGCAGGTGGCACTAAAGTTCAACTTAAAGGAATAACAGAAGAAGTAACCTCAGCTTCACAACAATTATTATTTACTTATTTATAAAACTATGATTAAAATTCTAAACACGTTTAGCATTATTAGTTTAGAAAAACCAATCAATCGAAAAATGAAATGAAATAAAAATAAAAGTGAGATAAACAACAATCCACACCCCCATCCGATAGGTGGCGGTGTCGCACCGAGACGTTTAGCCGACTCGTCAGTCGTCATCCTCCGCAGCGGTTCCGTGTTGTTTATTGTGTTGTTTAATTTTGTAGAGTTGTTTGTTTGTTGTATTTTGCTGTCTAAGCTAGTCAGCGTCGGTTCGCGTCAACATGTCGGCTGCGGAGGACGACACGGAGCTGAGGGACCTGCTGATCCAGAACCTGGAGAACAGCGGGGTCCTGAACAAGCTGAAGGTCTGAAAGCTGATCTGAGAACAGATTTCTGTGTTAGCATCAGGGGCTAACAGCCTCAAGTGTCATAGTGAAGATGTCCGACTGGTTTAGAGTCACTAAATGAGGGACAACAGCGCTAGCTAACTGTTAACTAAGTTAGGTCATGTTTAACTAGACGAGAGGGGATGTGGCGTTCTGCGTAGCAGGACCAAAACTTCCCGTCTGTGAGGCTCTCCATCAGACTTCAGCAGGTTTTTAGAACAAGGATGAAGAATCGCTTTTATGGTTTGGCTTTTAACTCTCTGGGTTAGATGTTGCTGATCTTTTACATATTTTTACTTTATGGTTTTTGATTGTTTTTGGTGATTTTATCAGTTTTAATTAGTTACTCTGCAGCAGTTTGGTGGCATGCCTGTAAGGGGCTCTACACTGTAAAAAGAAAAACCCTATTGAAATTAAAAAAATTGATGTCCAATGGTCACATCCAAAATATTTGACTTCATAGAATCCAAATTGAGTCACTTGATATGACCTGATACTTTTATGTTGATATAAACATTACTAGACTAGACTGAAACTTTAAATTTTGCATTGATCGAAATTGATTTTTTTACATAGAACCATATTTTAATTATTGAACCAAGCTAATATATTGAAATTTAACCAACCTAATGTATTCACATCGAACCAAATTAACATGAACTAATATGTTTGTGTTGAAGCCAGGTAATTGATTTACATAAATTCAAACTATATTTTTTACATTTCATTTTATTTCAGTTCAAAAATGCTCTGCATTTCCTATAAAAAACAAGGCAGTTGGCCAACCAATTATTTCAAAATTATTTATTGTTCCAAACCATTTTAACTATAATCAATAGAGAGGATTAGTAATATAAAGATTTAGTTCTACGGCAGAAATGATTAGAGAAATGTTTGTTTTATAAAACCTCCAATCTTTTTAGAACTGGTATAAAACCTGCAACCCGTGTAAAACTGGCATAAAACCAAAACTCTTTTTAAACCAATTTGCAAGTACTCAAAAATGTTTATATGTGCACTGTGCCTGTACAATGTAAAAAAAAAATCTACACATGTATCAATGAAATCAACTTAAATCTCCCTTTCAAATGGGTGTTCTTATAATTTTGAATGTAGAATACCACTGCAGGCCAACCAAGCAAAATAACCAAGCACACATACACATGCACACATGCATGTGCACATACACATGCACACATGCATGCAAACACACTACTGTGCAGTGTTAAGTTCACAATTAAGTTTGCGAATCTTAGAGGTCATCTTGTTAAAGTCAAGCTCCATCATAATCTTTTGAAGAGCCTCAAAGGTGAACCTGAATCCTGGTGGATTTTCCATATTAAGAGTATAACAGAGTCCAAAGACCATTGCCACTCCAGCTGACACAGAAGGCAACTCATTCAGGACTTCCACACCATCAATGATTATCCCGATGTCTCGAGGCTGATGTAGGAGGCTTGAGTTGTCCCTGAAGACGAAGAGTGCCATGGTGGTACTCTGCAGCTCTTCCTCAGCTTCATCCTTCTGGGATATCTTGAGGTAAAATATGGAACAAAATGTACAAGTGAAGAACTGAAGTCTGGCACACATGATAAATCTTTGACCATAATAAACTACTATTTGGATAGTTGTTTGGTCACAGACTGTTAGAACAACTATTTGACTAATCAGATTGTGAATTGCATAATTATTAAATTTAATCAATGGTGGAACATTTTCATAAATGTTCCACAAAGCCCAAGAAAAATAAGAAAACAATACAGAACCCTAAGATATTAACTTGATGAGTTGATTAATCGTTGCTGTTCTACATTAATCACTGCATTTAATAGCAGAGTTGTCAAATTTACATCAAGAGACTGCATCTCGTGTAGAGACAGAACAGATATGGACATACCATGTATTCTTTTATCAAGTCCTCAACACGTTCTCCAAGGTAGATAATGAGAGATTTAAGTATACACTCCCTCCTAATGTCAGCATCAGCATCCTGCAGGAACAGTTAAAATTGTTACTATGCAATATGGATAGCTGCATGAAAGGAATTTTTTTTCAACTCTCAGATGGAGCGATCTGTGGTTTTGAAAGCATACAAAAAAAAATAATGTTACTTCTCTATAAAACACATAACATAGAAAAAACCAAGAAATACGTAACATGACATACACATCCTTATAAAAAGCTAGTACTAAAATTTGATTTAGGTTTACCAAACAGTCTACAGACAGCCAATAGCGACTAAGTTTGGTAGGGTCAATTTTTTGCTTTTAAAATTAAAATTTCTTCAGAAAATGCACATTTTTCCGAGCCGCGCCTGAAAGTCAATTGAAGGAATTAGTCTTATGTCATTCATCTTATATGCTGGCGGGTTATTTCTGTCTCTAAATCATGCACATTAATAATAATTATAAGATATTATATGAAGAGAGACAGAGACAAACGTGGGCGCACAAACACAAGCTTGTGTCTAGAAACCGCGAGATCACCAGAAAAATTCAAATGAAGCGGAGCACGGAGTTACACTATGAATGTTATGAACTATGAACTTATGCTAGCTAGCTGTATCCACCACCGATGCATTGTGGTAACGCTAGCTAGTTAGTAAAAGAAACGGCTGGTAAAAAAAGGCTATTTGCCTAACTTGCATTCCCTACTAAGATGGTCGGTTGCTGGTAACCAGTTCTAACGTCATGTCGGATAGCTAGCTAGCTTGTAGCTAGCAGCTACAATCATGCAAAAATTGGGGGTGGCTGTCGGCCTAGCTTAAATGTGGTTATTTTCTGCAATTTTGGCAATACAAATTATAAAAGCTTTTGTAACACACTTGGCTTTACTTACATTTATTTTCAGATGAAATTAATCAAAGATGTGACACGATGTTTCCAGCAGCCATGCAGAACAAAAATGGGTCCCGGTTTCTGGTGGGCGTGTTCAAGTGCAAATCACTTTGACTCAAATTAAAGATATTATCTGTTCAACATGAAAAGAAATATATGTTTTGAGAGAAATCAAAAACTTTGTGTTTTGTCCTTTGTACAGATATTTAGTTTCATCCAAATGAAAAGTGGTATTTTAAAATGCAAAAAGAAAGGGTTTCACAATCAAATCAATGATTTTATTCTGTTTTGAATGGCACTTATTAGATTGAATGAATGACTGTATGTTAGACTTTTTTCAGTGTATATACGCACGCACTGATGTGCGGAGAGTCCGCAATCCTACCTCCCCACCTAATGGACACTTACTTATGTTGTGTGATGTCTTAAGTCTGTTGCATCTTTGCATAGCAAAGCTGCCCTCCCTGTGGAGGGTAACTCTGAAGTGCCCTTTTTTCCCTCCACCTTACTCCATCCTCATGTAACTCTCTGATCTCTATGAAGGTAGCGCGACTCGGGTTGCGAATGACCACAGTCACCAGTTCTTGTCATGTGTCTTTGCCTATGTTTGTCTGATCTCAGAATTGTGTGTACTGAAACTCAAATTTCCCTCTGGGATTAATAAAGTATCTTTGAATTGAATTGAATTATAAATAAAGATGATGATGACTGCCAGTTAGCTCCTGGTTAACTAGCTCTAGGTTTTAAAACATAAATAACAAAACAAGCATCTCTGCTCTTTATATCACTTAACATCGGTGCCATGTAGAAGCAAATGAAGAAGTAACCCACTAATAACGTCTAAAACCCAACAAAACCATAAAGATAATATGATAAGCCCAGTTCTTTTGGGGATTATTTACTCTAGCTATTCTGAACGGTTTAAAGATTTTTTATCTCCAAGTTGTTTAAAAAAATATTTCAATCATTTTAAAATCCAATAAATGTTGAAAACCTTTTAGAAAATCCTACATTATTACTGTTTTAACCACTGAGTTTGTTTTTCAGTCTGAACTCATGACTTTAAAACAGTCTTCACAGTGGAAAGTTTAATAAAAGTCCCTGTGTGTGTGTGTGTGTGTGTGTGTGTGTGTGTGTGTGTGAACCGTAGGTGAAAAATCTGGTGTTTTAGTGTTTTAAGTTTTAAAAAGAACTGATTAAGGCCCACAAATATGTCAAACACAGAATGAATATACAAAAGATGATTAATGCCCAATTTGAAAATTATTATCACAAATGAGCCCCTGGATAAAAAAACATAACTCTGTTAAACCCATAAATAATAATTGTTTTAAAATGAAAACAAAAAAGATTTCTAGGAGCAGCGAAGGTGTTGAGGGAATCCGTTTTGGTGGCCCGAGGAATGAGTCTCTGTATTTTGCAGATGATGTGGTCCTGTTCATCATCAGAACCTGATCTCCAACTCTCACTGGAGCGGTTCGCATCCGAGTGTGAAGCAGCTGTGATGAAAATCAACTCCATGCTCGAGTCAGAAAAGGGTAGAATGCCTTCTGTGGGTCAGGGATGGAGGAGTTTAAGACAAGACAGCTTTATTAATTCAATTCTTTATTCAGGACAATGACATTAATAAACAATCAAATACATTGTATCGATCGTAAATGGGCCAGATTATAGCATAGTTGCTAATTTGCATCTGTAGTCTGATGGCTCATTTCCTACACAAAGGCAACTCGGTGTGCTTTACAGCAATAAGAACAGACAAGATCAACACAAAAATTAACAATGGACTACTAAAACTAGAAGACTAAAACATAAGTATCTCGGGGTCTTGTTCACGAGTGAGGGAAAACTGGAGCGTGAGATCGATAGGCGGATTGGTGCTGCATCTGCAGTGATGCGGGTGTTGTACCGGTCTGTCGTGGTGAAGAGAGAGCTGAGCCAGAAGGTGAAGCTCTAGATTTACTGGTCAATTTACGTTCCTACCCTCACCTATGGTCATTAGCTTTGGGTAGTGACCGAAAGAACGAGATCATGGATGCAAGAGGCTGAAATGAGTTTTCTTTACAGAGTGGCTGGGCTCTCCCTTAGAGATAGGGTGAGAAGCTCGGTCATCTGGGAGGGGCTCAGAGTAGACCTGCTGCTCCTCCACATCGAGAGGAGCCAGTTGAGGTGGCTCGGGCATCTGGTCAGGATGCCTCCTGGACGCCTCCCTGGTGAGAGAGGAGGCCTAAAGGTAGACCCAGGACACGCTGGAGGGACTATGTCTCTCACCTGGCCAGGGAACGCCTTGGGATTCCCCCAGAGGAGCTGGCCCAAGTGGCTGGGGAGAGGGAAGTCTGGGCCTTCCTGCTTAGGCTGCTGCTCCCTCACAACCTGACTCTGGATAAGTGGAAAAAAATGGATGGATGTTTTAAAATGAACTTTGTCCATTTTTGGTAACTAAAGAAACAATAAACATCTAATTTGATTATTTTTACATTCTAAAATCTTTCAAATTGTCTCAAAAAATGAAAAATAAATGTTGTCAATAATCCTCATCCTTTTGTCCCAGAAGAGTTAAACAGCAGTCCTTTAGTCGGGTTTAAGATGAGTACACCACATTTAGTTATAGAGCATATTTAAAAACAGCATGTCCACCAAAGGGCTCGAACGCCAGAGGAGGGCGATGGAAGGAATAGACAGAAGAGTAGCACCAATGTTAAACTGAGCCCTCAAAACCAAAGACCTCACCAACAGGCTGATAATATAAAAGATCGATTCTACAGAATAAGAGCAAAAGAATGGTTTCAATAGAACTCAATGTAGTTTTTTATGAGAATAAACAGGTTGGGTCTGTTCCTGCAGGCTGAGATGAGGGCGGCTGTGTTCCTGGCCATGGAGGACCAGGACCGACTGGAGGTGAAGCTTCTGACTCCTTTTCTTCTCATGTCTGACTCAGCTTCTCGTCGCCTTCATGTGCGTTTTTATCGTCCTCAGAACAAATCACCACTTGTCAACGAAAACCTGAATAAGTGTCTGAACTCAAAAGACGGTGAGTTCCTGTTAGGATCCGTGCATCGTGTATGAGGTGATGAATTAATGAGCTCTTCATGCTTGCATCCCAAACAGCCTGATTTTCTGGTCTGTGCTGTTTTTTTTGGTTTGACCACTGGGGGGCGCTGCTGCACCACCAGACCTTTAGCTGGTTCCTGCTTATTGTTCTGCTTGGGAAGTGTGTGTGTGTGTGTGTGTGTGTGTGTGTGTGTGTGTGTGTGTGTGTGTGCGTGTGTGCGTGCGTGCGTGCGTGCGCGAGAGCGCGACCAGAACATCTGGATGGGGGATGATGCAACAGCTTCCTGGTTCTGGTTTGATTTCCTGTCTGGTTCTGATCCAGGTCGCCTGGTAGCCAGTCTGATCATGGACTTCCTGCAGGTCTTTAACCTGGACTTCAGCCTCGCCGTGTTCCAGCCAGAGATCAACTCGGTGAGTCTGTTCAGAACTTTCCTGCCCCATGCAGTCCGAGAGAATTCGGATGATGTCACGCTGAAACCCCAGCGTTTGTGTCTGTGAACCTGAAGCCCACGCAGACTGCTGGTTACCCACCAGAACCCTACGGGCCCATTGGGACGGTCCGGTGTCGGTGTCCACAGATATCTGAGACCTTCATCATCATCATCATCATCATCATCAGGGCTGCATCACTTCACTCACCTGGAGAACAACAGCTGCTTTATAATAATCCAAGTCTGATCACTCAGGTTGTGGGAAGTAAAGTCCCGCCCACGCACGTGGCAAAAGTCCCAACCACTCACCTGGCTAAAGCCCCGCCCACACATGTGGCTAAAGCCCTGCCCACTCACCTTGCTAAAGCCCCGCCCACTCATCTGGATAAAGCCCCGCCCTCTCACCTTGCTAAAGCCTGGCTCACTCACCTGTCTAAAACCCCGCCCACTCATCTGGATAAAGCCCCGCCCTCTCACCTGGCTAAAGCCCCGTCCACTTACCTGGCTAAGGCCCCGCCCACTTACCAGGCTAAAGCCCTGCCCACTTATTTGCACACAGCTGCAGCTGTGGGTAGAATCGGTGCGGTGAGAACGGCCAAAAGGAACCAGATGAGACATGAACTGTTCACGAGTAATAGAAGGTCTGACCCATCAGAACTGGACCGGTTTTGATGGGTCAGACCTTCTGATGGGTCTGTGTTTCTGTCTGCAGCTGAACGGTCTGGACAGCCGGGAACTGGTCTGCAGAGAGTTGGGTCTGTCCGACTCGGAGCAGAACCAGAACTCGCCTCTGCTCCTGGAGCTCATCAGGAGAAACCGACACGGGGACAAGCGGGCTGTCCCTACCAAGGTGAGATGGTTCTGTTCGGGTGTGCTGCCGGGCCGGCCCAGAACCGAAGCAGAAACAGATGTTTATGTTCTGTTTGTGTCATCAGGTCCCGAAGGTGAGCCCACAGTCTCAGCTGGAACCAGCATCCAGATCCAGAACCCGTTAGTTTGGTCCGGATCAGGAGTTGGGTTCAGATCAGAAACTCGACTCAGAACACATGCTGAAGGAGTTCTGAACCCCCAGGGGGCGGAGCTTAACGAGTTAAAACCGTTCTGGTCTGTTAACTTCATTTATTAAACAGAAGCTTAAAAAATCATTGATTAATTCATAAAAGGTGAAAAACAATTAATAAAAACTTTATTTAACATTATTTAATGTCGTTAGATTAAACCAGAGCCACTCAAGTCCGGGCCTGGAGGGCCGGGATCCAGCAGGTTTTAGTGTTGACCGGCTTCAACACACCTGAGATCAGTCAGCAGGTGATTAACGAGCTTCTGCAGAGCCTGATGAGCTGCTGCACAGGTGTGTTGGAGCAGAGAAAACAATAAAACGTGCTGGACACTGCCCTCCAGAACCAGAACCAGAGATCAGGTCTGAGTCTACCTGAGACCAGGTAACTGATGCTTCAGCAGCACAAACATAGCTGGCTCTGCTGACTGGTGCATGCTGGGTAATCTGCGTGTTGGCACCAGGATCAGAACCTCCAGAGCAGAACCCAAGTGTCCTTCCGGCAGCCAGATGTTCCTCTGACCCGTTCATGTGTTCTGGATCAGGACCATCTGATGGTCTGAAGGAGTTCAGCTCAGTTCTCAAACTTTAATCTAGACCAGATTATCTGGTTTCATGCAGATGATTTTGTATAGTTTAAATAAAAATCTGGATTAAAGGAGTTTTCTGATCAGACAGATCGGGTTCTAAGCACCCGCTGGTCTCCTCCTCCACCTGGACTCACTGGGTCCACCTCTCTTCTGTAGGAACTTTCTCAGGAACAAATGGCCGACGCCCGCAAGTGGTTTGAATTTTACGACAAGGTCAGTGTGATGTCATTGTTCTCCGGCCAATCCCAGAAGCCGTTCTTACTCCTGCATTTGTTTCCGTCTGCAGGATCAGAGCGGTTCCGTCTCAACAGAAGTTCTGACGTCCGTTTTCTCGGATCTGTTCCCAAATATGAACAAGTAGGAATCCTTTAGCTCTCAGATGAAATAATTCATTTATAGTTGGAATTGCGGCCATAATCGGACTGACGGGAAACATCTGCTCCGTCTGTAAAACTGAAGTCCACTCAGATGGAATGCTTCTAGTTAAATGTGGAGATGCCAGCTGCTGGTCGGTCCAGAACCGGAGTCCTGAGCTTGGTGTTGTGTTGCAGGAACATGTTGGAGAGATTCGTCTGTGATGAGCTCAGAGCTGTAGACAGGAACCTCTCCGGCGGTGAGCGCAACGAACCTTTCTGCTACGTCAGCGGCCTTCAAGGGAAGTTTTAAAAATGTTTTTCCGCATAAAAAACTTCAGTTTTCTACAATACAGACGAACAGCCTCAGCTTAGAGAAATGGATTTTACTTGTTATCAGTAGTTTGTTTTTGACGTCTTAAACTCGCTCAGATCTTAGTTTTACCGTAATACACGGTTATTTTGTCATGACCTTCGTCGTGCAGGTCCCGCCCCCCAAGTCAACAGGAAGTTCACGTTTAATCTCAGTAATAATCTGAATTGTGAAATGACATAAAATAACGTCACATGACCCGTGGGGAATCAGATTAGATCTTATTGAAGACAGAAAGACAGACTAGCCATTAGCTCGTCATTCATGAAGTACGTGAACTCCATGTCTCTGAGCTGAGGCTGTTCAGGTGGACAGGTCCGATAGAAATCTTCACTTTTACGCAGAAACACTTCAGCTTCGGTTCTGATCCGATTGGATGTTCTGCTCCTTCCAGGGATCGACTTCCAGGCATTCCTGGGGATGTGCAGACATCTGTTCAGCCAGTGCCGAAGCGTGGTGAGTCCAGATGTTAGATGTTCGGGTTCTGGTTCTGGTGGGTCTTTAAATACATGAAGAGAAGTTCTGCTCCCATAAACTTTTATTCTTTATTTATTCAAATATGGAGGACAGGAAATAAAACCGTTCCAAAGTTTTAATCCTCTTTAATAACAAAAACCTGTTTGCAGGTGGTTCTGGACCCGGACCTGGATGTGAGTCCACCTCAAAACCAGATTCCTGAAGACAAAGTTGGATCTCCTCCCGTCAGTCAGGTATGCTCAGGTCCAAACTCGCTCTGTCTCCAGATCCTACAGAGGTTCTGACGAAGTTTGTTCTAGAAACACGTCTGACGGACAGAACCGGGTCAACTGGACTCACATTTCTAGTTTCTAAATCCTCCAGTCCTTTAGAGAGGACAGGTCCAAAACCAGAACCCACTTCCGTTTTAGAGCAGAACAGAGGTAGTTCTGAAGGCAAGAGAACCCATGATCACAGAACCCTAACCCGGGTCAGCACCTTCTCTGGTCCTTAGGGGAGAACTTTGAGTCCTTTTTGTGTCACACTGGGTCTTCAGAACCTCCCATATCCGGTTCCAGTCTCTGTGTTCCCGTTTTTCCTCCCATTGGGACCGGTTGCAGGATAACAAAGATGGAATATTTGATGTTTGGGTTTATTTGTTCCATCAGGTTGTTCCTTCCTGCTTGGTTCTGATAAAGGAGTAGATTTAGAACGAACCTGTAGGAACCAGGTCGCCCTAAGCTAGCAGAACCTGCTGTGGGTCGGGTCGGACTCACAACTGCTGTTGGTGTCTCACAGATCCCCAGGTACAAGGTCCAGAAGAGTCCAGCTGCTGCCAAGGTAACGGGAGGGGGCGGAGCTTACACCTGAATCAGCACCTGAGCTCACTAACCACACCAACCTGACCTCCGACCTGCTTCACCTCAGATTAACTATCTGATGTAGACCTCCCATCACTTCCTGCTGCATGAAACCAGCTCTGGGCAGTTCTACAGAACCGACCCGACCCGTCGTCTCTCTAGAAATCTTTTGCCCCGAGGAACAAACTCCGACTGCTCACGAAATTCCGAAACCAGAAAAAATACAGAAAAGCTGAATTGTATAAAAGCGTTTTGATCAGATCTGAGTTTGTTTCACGGTCGAAGCTTAAAGTTCAGGAGGAGCAGCTCCTCCTGCAGGAGCATCACCCTCCTCCTCAAACCTGAAGCTTTGTCCCTCAGGAGCTGGAGCGAGCCTCCTCCCTGGGCCAGCCCGACCTCCAGCAGTCCAACAACAGAACCGCCTCCTCGGCCGTGAGGAAGGAGAGTCTGGACCTGGAGGGAGAGGAGGACCACGATGAAGGAGACTCGTTCTTCGATGACCCGCTGCCTGAACCACAGAAGACCTACGGCTGGTGAGGAGAAATGTTCTGGTTCCTGTTTCATCTCCAGCTTCAGGTTCTTCTGAGGGAATTCCAGAATTCCTGTTTTTATTCCAGACAGGGATCACTGTCATCCCAGCTGCTGTTTTTGTGTCATTAAAGATAAAAAATCTAAATAAATGATCATTTCTATTCATCACAAGACTTAACTAACTAACTAACTGGTTAGTGGCAGCTAGTTAAAGAGTTAACGTTGCTGCTGCAGGAATTGTTTATAAAACTAACGAAGAGTTTTGTCCCAAAGTCAGAAACGGGAACAGAAGTGTTTCTAAACGATGAAGGAAAACATTTAAAACAACATAAATACAGAAACTTCCCTAAAATCAGTAAAATGTTATTTGTGATTAGATCTGGGTTCTTACAGGTGCTTGAAGGTCTTGAAAGTCCTTGAATATTTTAACTGAAGATGGATGCATGAACAGTGATGTTCTTCTTTAGGAGAAAAGGGAATGAATGACCAGGAATGTTGTGGTCCTGCAGGTGTGAGTCAGACAGAAGGTGCTGGAATACCTTGAAAGTGCTTGAGTTTGAAACCAACTTCAGTAAAATATGAAATGCCACTTCCCAAAACTTTTAAAATGTTTGTCAAACATGGAAATGAAATGAATTATAAATAAAAATTTAAGTTTAGAATTTTCCAAGAATCATCAACCTTAACTCGGTTAAAAATCCAAAGACTTTCCAGCACCTGTAAGAACCAGGATCCCAAAAACTCATCTGGGATCGGAATTGGCTTTGATCTCATCAGCAATCATTTTATTCATGCTAATTAGAAGAGTTTAAAAACGTTTTCTGTTAATGTAGTTAGATACAAACCTGGATCAGAGTCTGTATCGGCCCTCAGAACCAGAACCGGTGCCTTGGTACCGGTGACGGCTCCTGTCGGACCCGAATAATGAGTCTGTCTGATGTTTTCTGTCTCTTCCTGCTGCCTCTGAAGTCAAAACTCTCCGAGGGGAGAAAAGGATTTGTCAGAGTGGACCGGCACTCAGGAGTGAGTATCACAGGAAGTCCCTTTCAAAATAAGTGCTGAGGAAAGCTAGGAGCTGGAGGAGGGTTTGGAGTTCTCTTCTTCTGGGTTTCAGTCTGAACCTCCGAGCTGCTCTCACCTGTCTACCCTGTCCCTGACATGTCTGTCTTCCTGTCCTGTCCCTGCTGTCCTCCCCTGTAGCGTTGTCCCTCTGAGGGAGGAGACTCCGTCAGGGACGCTCATCTCCCCCATGAGGCGAGGCAAAAGCCTCAGCGAGTGAGTCTGCATGCTTCGTCCAATCAGACGAGTCGGAGCCTGACCGGTTTTAGCTGCAGTTAAAGGTCAAAGGTCACAGAGGAATCTGTTTAGGGAGCAGAAATAAACCTGGGGAACTGGGAAAATGACGTTTAATTAAACTTTCTATCCAGATGTTTCTTCATTGAAGGCCACACGATGGAGTTTAAAACCATCGGATCTCATCAGAAAAGAGTTTTATGTTTCCCAGCTCGGATCCAGTCAGCTTTCATTTACCGTTAAAAACCTGTTATGTGATGTTTTAAATAATCTCGCTGATTCTGAGATTAGCCACACATAAACATGACTCAGTGGAGGCTGATCTCAGATCTGCTCAGCTGGAACTCAGTTTGACGTGGAGGAAATTGAGCGTGCACGCTGCTCCTTTGGGAACGCTCGCAATCGTGTCGGATTACACTTTGCCGTCGGCTGCATGAAAGTTTAATGCGTTGAGAGGAAGTGGGTCATTGGGACACAGAACTGAGCTGGTTCTGGTCTACATGCAGGTTTAATAAAACATAAACCAGCAGCTTTGATCCTTGGGTTTTAGGTTAATATCTTTGTTTTATTAGCAATAAAACACACCATGCTCAATGACTCTTGTTTTCACCTCCTTCTGCTCCTCCTCTTCCTGCTCCTCTCTGGTCTCAGTCTCTCGGTCCTTGCTGGGGACCCAGAGTTGGAGCGAGACAATCCTGTCTCAGATCACAGCTCAGAGCTCAGGTGAGCTGCAGGTGTACCCGTCTGTCCTCCTGAACATCATCTGATATTTATTATCATCCTCCACCCAGATGCAATGTGTGTGTGTGTGTATTTGCATGCATGCGTGTGTGTGTGGGGGGGGGTGTATTTGCATGCATGCGTGTGTGTATTTGCATGCATGCATATGTGTGTGTATTTGCATGAGTGTGTGTGTGTGTGTGTGTGTATTTGCATGCGTGCATGAACGTGTGTGTATTTGCATGCATGCGTGTGTGTGTATATTTTTATGCGTGTGTGTATTTGCATGCATGCATGTGTGTGTGTCTATTTGCATGCATGCATGCGTGTGTGTATTTGCATGCATGCGTGTGTGTGTGTATTTGTATGCATGCACGTGTGTGAATTTGCATGTGTGTGTGTGTATTTGCATGAGTGTGTGTGTATTTGCATGCATGTGTTTGTGTATTTGCATGCATATATGCGTGTGTGTATTTGCATGCATGCATGCGTGTGTGTGTGTGTGTTTGCATGCATGCACGTGTGTGTATTTGCATGTGTGTGTATTTGCATGCATGCGTGTGTGTGTGTGTAATTGCATGCATGCAAGTGTGTGTATTTGCATGCGTGCATGCAAGTGTGTGTATTTGCATGCATGCGTGTGTGTGTGTGTGTGTGTGTCTGTGTGTGTGTTTGCATGCATGCATGCATGTGTGTGTGTGTGTGTGTGTGTGTGTGTGTGTGTGTCTGTGTGTGTGTTTGCATGCATGCATGCATGTGTGTGTGTGTGTATTTTAGATCCTAAAGGCCGTCTGGTCTTAATATAACAGGTTTCAAACCCACTTCCTCTAAAAACTGACAGAAATTAGGATTATAACATAATCCATGAGGAAAGTCATCTAGTTGAAGGTTCCAGCAGCAGCTTCGTGTTCTGGATTGGGTCCTCAGATGTTTCTCCTCTGATGGAAGTTTTTAGTAGAAATGAACGTCTGATTGGGTCAGAACCACCGGTTCTCCTCACAGGAAGGTGGAAACGCCCGGGGTCAGGGGGAGTCCAGTCGGGTCTCAGTCCGAGGGCTGCAGACTAGCGGGAGGAGGAGGAGGGAGCAGTGGATCGGAGCCGAGCCGCAGCAGAAACGGTTTGTTTCTTCTCTGTTACCATGGATACTGATTATGTCTCTAAATAATCGGAGTTGTTTTCCTCCTACATCTGAGTTTTAATCTGTGATCAAACCATAAAATAATCTGTTTCTGTTCTGCAGGGGCATCAAACTCCAGAGAGAAAGGCTTCCGTGGGCTGAGCGACCGAACTGGGTCTCTGCATCTAGGTGGGAATCAGGTTGTTTGGAATCAGAAACGTCCTCTGGACCTATTCAATTTCAATTCAGCTCAGTTTATTTCTAAAGCGCCAAACCACGACCAGAGTCGTCTCAGGGACCTTCACACAGTAAACGATCCAACACAGGTCAGGTCATTAACCCAGCAGGTTGCATCGAGTCACTGACTAGTGTCAGAGTATTTACAGCAATCCTTATACTAAGCAAACATGCAGCGACAGTGGAGAGGAAATGGAGTCTTTGTGTTCCTGTTTGTGAAACTTAAACTCAGGTTTCCTGTTTCCACAGATGATGACGTTGAATATGACGATGATTTCAACAGGTGAGATTTCCAGGTGACCTGCTGCTGCGTGTGCTGGTCGGTTTATCCTCACAGATTTGATTTCCTTAGCTTTTTATTTCATTTATTCATGCAAGATTTTCTCGTTCAGCTCTAAACCGCCAGTTTTATTCAAAATAATTAGAAATGAGTTTTTCCTGTCCAAATGGACTCTTAATACCGGGTGAGATCAAATCGGAATCATCGGAATTACTGTGAATATTTGGTACATTATTTCTGGAAACTTCCATATTTGGGTCCAAATTAGTTTACAGGTCTTATAAAAGCTCTAAAGGTTTTGATTTATAAGCATCAGAGTTATAACAATCTAAAGAGGTGGTTTTACTGAGCTCTGAACCAGCCGATCGGCTTGAATTAGAACTAAGTTTGTGTGTTCCAGCCACCGGTCGGACCTCTCCAACGGAGAGCTGAGCATCGGCGAGGAGATTGAGGAAGTTTCCATCGAAGGTCCTGAAAACAGCGACAAGGTGACGAAAAACTCCTGAGCAGCAGATCTGAGTTCAGTTTAAACTGCTGGTTTCAACCCGCTGTTGTTTGTTTGTGTGTCGATGCAGTTTGATGAGTCCACCCAGGACCTGAGCGTCTCTCAGCTCAGCCAGAGCAACGTCGGGGATTATATGGAGGACGTGTCCTGAATCTCCCATCATGCACCTCTTCCTGTACAGATTTATAGAAACGACTAACGAGCTTTGTGCTGCTGAGAGTGATGATGATGATGATGAAAGATTTGTTTCTATTTATCTGGAACTTTCTGAGGAAACACGAGTCGTCGTAACAACAGGAAGTAACTTTTCAGTCTAAAAGGAGAAGAAGAAATTTTCTTCATCACATTTGAATGGGTTCAGCTCTGTGATGCTGTACGGAAAGCAGTTTTACTCCATATTAAACTAAGATGTGAATAATGAAAATAAATTAACTGAATCAAGTCTTTTTTATTGTAGTATCAACTAAATGATCACATGTAGCTTATCAAAGTAAAAGTCTTTTAACATCATTTAAACAATAAAACAAGTTACCTTTCCACCTCATCCCCCCAGAGCAAACAGGAACACCCTCCTCGAGTAATAAAGACCATTCAGCCTCATGCATTCATCGGGTCAAAGTTAAACAACCCTCCTGATGCGGAACAAACATCTGGACATTTCTCATTAAAACGCTGGAAACATCTGGATTTATCCAATAGATCCAAACATTTTACAATAAAACAAAAGCAGCAGTTTTAGCAAACGATCTTAAAATATGTCGCACCTCACAGAGGAACTAGACATGGATGCCCACTTTCACCCGCACCACTAACACTTTAACACCTAAAATGAGTTTATATGCTGATGATGTACTCCTGTTCCTCCAAAACCCAAACAAATGCGGTGAACTCTCCACAATCTCGAATTATACCATAAACTGGAATAAATAAACCTCTTTAACAGTAAATGGGGACACAGCAGATTACATCCTACTACTAACACGGTCACATACTTAGGAGTGGAACTCTAAAGTCACATTTCGACAGTCGCAGTTCGACTCCCCTACTGGAAACGATAAGAGATGACTTAAACAGATGTATGACCGTACCTTCATCATTTATAGGATGGATTAACACCAAAACTGACCTACATATTCACAGTGATCCCAACCAACAGCAGCTTTCTTCACCACTCTGGACTAGGGCTGCACGATATTAGGAAAACCTGCGATATTCGATAACGATGATTAATATTGCGATGACGATATTACTTGCAATAAATAAAAACTTAACTCAGGAACAAAAATGATCAAAAACAAAGAAATAAAAAAAATCATGAAAATGAGAAAAGCAAAAGGTGTGAGGAAAGAGAAAAGGAAAATGAACAAGAAAAGGCAATCAGTGGATCCCGGGAAAAGCAGAATCAGCAGAAAGAGCAGAACAAAGCTAACACAGGTGTTTGCTAACCATCAAAATTAAGTGCCATCCGCCTCGGGGGCGGGACTCTAACCTATGAGAACCCACCCGATTGGCCAATTATGGTGATTCTGCACCAAGCTGCATCCGCCTCGAGCTGCTGTGTCAACAGGTCCTCCCAGAAGCTGGACGATGGTAGGCTTTCCACTGGACACTGGACAAGTTTTCACTGTAGCTGCCCCTGGCACCATGAAGAAAAGAACGGAGAGCCTCGACTGGTGCATAAACTTGTATTCGTTTCTCTGGTCCAATGCCTTGGACTTCACTCCATGAGTTGCACCGTGAAAACTGTTTGGAGATATACGAAGCATAAATAAAAGATGAACACAACTTTAATGTCATAACAGAAATAGATTATATTCTCACACATTTCCGTTGGCCAAGGGTGCTAAACAAAACAATAATTCCTCAAAGCTGCTTAATCTGTAGATTTGACTAGGTGATGGACAAAAAACAAACAAACAATGACTAGAGTGTCAAACTAATAACCCAAACAAAAGCGTCAATACAGCAAAACTTACGTGGGGATGCAGTCGGCAATGTGCAGCTGAGGTGATTTTAGGCTTAAGATCTAATTTCAATACTTCAAACAGTGTTATCTTCTCTACAAACAAATTAACCCAAGCAGTTTTCTCTGGAAGGGTGTGGCTTATATAAATTCTGTGAGCCAATTAAGGGTCATTGCTATCAGCTGCTCAGCTGGCAGCTACAGGTTAAGAGCTCCATTTGATTTGTTAAGAAAACATCCTGCTTCCGCTTGACTGACAGAATGTATTATGTGTAGCAAACATTTGAGCTGACCATTCATTACGATATTTATCTTTTCTTTGCGATATGCATATTGCGCATGCTGATATCGCGATAACGATATATTTACGATATATTGTGCAGCTCTACTCTGGACTCAGCCGCAACGTTGTTCTACTGGAAACACCAAAAAACAAAACTAAAACCTAGGAGGGGTCTGGAAGCAGCACATCTCCATCACCACTTCTTAACTAACCAACTACATCATCTCATCAAATGGACACACTCCACCTGCAACCAGCACCCATGGCTGGACTTGAACAAGAGATATCAACCAAAGACCTCCCATTCATCAGTAATGCCTTCAGACATCCCCGTTGTTTTAAAACCAGCATGATGGAAGAAAAGTGAAATAAAAGCTGTTCTCACCCACAAATAACCCAGAGAATAACGGCGTCACACATCTCTGACCAGAGTAACATCTAAACACTCTAACCGCTTATCGACATGTGCAGCATTCTTCACTAATAACTCATATTATCACTTATCTGGCTGACTATCTGTACATCATTACATTTGATTCAATGCGTTTTGCTTTAACTTCTCTGCTCTGTCAAAATAAAATAAAAATACTCAAAAATAGGATTTTAAAGGAAACGAGTACGGACATCCGTAAACGCAGAATCACAGAAACGAGTCAAAGATGCAAAATAAAAATGAAAATAAGAGTTAATAAACTAAAATATGTAAAATGATAAATTCATCCTCACTCGTTTTTTATGGGTCATGACATAAATGACTTTCTCACTTCCTGTTGGTGAGACCAACAGTGTGCAGAACCCCCACAGGTGGAAACACCTGAGACTTTGGGTTAGGGGTCAAAAAGACAAACGGATGTTTATCCACGAGGAAACATCTGGATGGTAGCAGGAAGTGACATGACTGCTCAGGTGAGGTTTTACCTGTCTACGCTCTTTCTCTGGAATGTTTCTTAGGAACTTGGAATGATTTAGTACAAACAGACACTTTGGAATAATAAACAGAGTCAGATGAAACGTGTAGAAGCGCGTAGGAGAAGCAGAAACATCTGATTATCAGAGAGGAAGCAGCTGAAAGAGGAAGATGTGCTTCTCTAAGCAGAGCGAGGTGGATGTGGAGCAGCAGAACATCAAACTCCTCCATCGTCAAACACAAGCAGCAGCTGAGCGACTGGACCTCCAAACGGTGAGTTCTTCACCTAATCATCTCATCATCTTCAGACCTATTATCTCCTTATCATTCAAATCTGGATGATGAATTCTTTCACACACTTTTGAGCCTTGTGCCTCAAAAACCAGAGATTTTTTATCAGCGACAGATCCTGACGCTAGGCTGCCTCAGCGGCTGCATCTAGATCACGGAGATAAAACCTGCAGAAATAAATGTTTGTGTTCGCTCGGCTGCTACTGCTTCATCTGCTTTTGTTTGATTGGTTTGGGTTCTTGAGTTGAGAACGTTGTGATTCAGATCCTCCTCAGATCTCTGAGAGGAGACGGTCTTTGCTGACGTTATAAAGACCAAACTAAATCTCCAGAAACGCGTAAAACTCTGAGAAGAATGTCAGATTCAGTCATTTTAAAATCGAAACTCATGATATTTGGTAAAAGTTTCTTCTTCCTGTGAGTTTTTTTAATGAAGCCACCACTGACTAGTTGTATTTGCTTTGGATGTTTCTTTAAATTAACCAGGAAGTTTTAATAATAATAATAATAATAATAGATTTTATTTGTAACACACTTTACATTTGAATAAAATCTCAAAGCGCTACAGTAGGAAATCAGAAACAATCTAAAGAAAAATTAAAAACCATCAATAAAAACAAATAAAAAAATACATAAAACCATACAATGCTAAGTTAACACATGGTAAAACAACAGCAATATCAATCAGTTTGGAAAAGCTTGTGTAAATAAAAATGTCTTCAGATGTTATTTTAAAACACTCAACACTCTGAGGTGCTCTCAGTGTTTCAGGGAGTGTGTTCCACAGGCGTGGGGCTGCAGCTTGAAAGGCTCGATCTCCCATGGAATGAAGTTTTGTTCTGGGCTGTTGCAGGAATTGAGAATTTCTAGAGCGAAGATTTCTTGAGGTGATGTGGATTGTAAGGAGCTCTTTAAGATAAATAGGAGCATTTCCATGGATACACTGATAGGTAAGGAGACCTAGTTTGTATTTATTCTATACTGGAATATACCAATTGGGGATTGGTAACCAATGAAGAGACTTCTGTACAGGTGTGATGTGGTCATACTTGTGACCCCTTGTCACAATCCTGGCAGCACAGTTCTGGATGTGCTGAAGTTTCTGTAGGCATCCACTAGAGATTCCAGTGAGCTAAGAATTGCAGTAGTCTAGCCTAGATGAAACAACGGCGTGGATCAACTTCTCAGCATCTGCTTGGGTAAGAAACGGGCTAATTCTTACTATGCTTTTAAGATGGAAAAATGATACTTTAGAAAGGCAATGGACATGATTTTCAAGTGATAAATGTTGGTCCATTTTGATCCAGAGATCAGTGATAGATGTAGAAAATGTTATGTTACTACCTAATATGGTAATATTTTTTAGGTTAGTAGATTTGACCTGATGAGGAGTACCAATGAGCAGTACCTCTGTTTTGCTGCTGTTTAACTGGAGAAAATTTTCAGACATCCATGCTTTTGTTGCATCCACGCATGCACTAAGAGCAGAAAGTGTAGATGATGAGGAAACTGAATCAATTTTGAGATAAAGCTGTGTATCATCAGTGTAAGAATGGAAGGATATCCCAAAATTTCTAAAAAATATCTCCAAGTGGGAGCATATATATAATAAAGAGAATTGGGCCAAGAACTGATCCCTGGGGGACCCCACAAGTAATGTTGTGGGGTGATGATTGTATTAAAAACAAAGAACTTATGAAACATCATTCTAGATTCAGGACAAAGAAACTACACTAAATAAAAAGATCTTTAAGAACGTTTCTGATGCAGAACGTTGAGCTTTCAGCCTGAAGTCAGAGCTTCATTGGAGTTGATTAAGCTCTGGTCCACATGTGGAAGGTGTTTGGATGAAGATGGGGCTCAGATTTAGAGCTGAAGTCTGGATTCTTACATTTCTAACATCCAAACACTCTTGTCTTCAGTTGGTGAACCCGCTCGTATTCACGAGGCTCTCAGCTGCAGAGTCCAGGGTGAGGAACCAAAAAGGTCCATTTTAGATCAATGACCGAGGGACGAGTTAACCAGTCGGGTTTGAACCTGCAACCTTCTTGCTATGACCCGCACCGCCATGCAGCCATGTTTATTTGTTGTTGTTGTTGGGGATTTTCAGACGTTACATTAAGTTTGATTGACTTTTCAAAATAAAACCCATTATTTATTAATGTTTTATTGCAGCAGCTGATGCTGAGAACCTGGCAGGCCTTCATACTGAAAAATCTCCGTGAAAGTTGGAGGAACTTTTTTGTTTCCATCTTGGCAATCACCGTTGGCCGGCATCATCAGGAACAGGATCAGCCGTCTGCGGTTCCCTCTGATGTTTGATTTGTGGTAAAAAAGATTCCACAGAGCTTTTGAATACCCGCTCTAACTTCCTCTAGCACCAGAGGTTCCTGCTTTAGTTCTGCTGAACGACGCTCAAACTTCACCTTTATTAAATGTCATTTTCCAGAAAGCCAGAACGGTCCCGTCTCCCGTAATGGATCTGTTCGGGTCCAGGTGTGTTCTAAAGGACCAGCTGAGACGGGTTTAGACACGTTTTTGTTCCCTCCTCAGATTCCTTTCTGGTTCTGTTGAAGACTTGGAGTCTCTTTCAAAGGAAAACTGGAAAACGTAGCATCCAGAATCAGCAGAATGATCTGATCTCTGGAGAATAATCACCGATATTTGTACTTATTTCAGCCTGAACCAAATCCTGTTGAGGAGAATTCTCCTCCTGGACTTTTCTACCCGTTTCTGTTTGGTCCTGAAAGTTCTGGATCTCAGGTCTGAATACGTGAGTCCAGAGGTCTCCTGACCTTCCAGTCTTTAACCCACATACCAAACCCAAAATAAACACAATAAAAAACAACAGCATCCACTCAGCTGTTATCTAGTGATGTGACGTTCACAAACGAATCAAATTTGGGCAGCAGTAGCTCAACAGGTTGAGCGGGTTGTCCAGTAATGGGAAGGTTGCAGGTTCGATCCCGGCTCCGGACAGAGAATTCTGCTGTTGTGTCCTTGGGCAAGACACTTAACCCACGTTGCCTGCTGGTGGTGGTCGGAGGGACCGGTGGCGCTTGTGCTCGGCAGCCTCGCCTCTGTCAGTGCGCCCCAGGGCAGCTGTGGCTACATTCATCACCATCAGTGTGTGAATGTGTGTGTGAATGGATGAATGATACACTGTAGTGTAAAGTGCTTTGGAGTCCTTACTCTGAGAGGCGCTATACATGTGCGGGTCATAAATCTTTTGAACGGGTTTTCAAAGTGAATGATGAGAGCCGAGTCCCTGCAGAGAGCTGTTCATCTTACGTCGCTCAAACCCACCCCCTGCTGTGACGAGTGTAGGAGGAACCATAGATATGTATATAAACACGTATGGGGGGTACGCTAACCAACTCCGTGTGCCCTCACGGACACCACAGGAAGATGTTGCTCTTAATACCCCCTCCCCCACCTGCCCGCTCTCTTGGCTTCACTTCGTTCAAAGGAGCCAGTCTTTTGAACGGCTCTTTGAGGTAAACGGCTCCCATGAAAGAGCCATAAATCCCATCACTACTGTTATTCTTTTGGGGCCATTTTTATTTAATCTCTAACTAGAATTATGGTGAAAAGACATTTATTTAGGGTTGTTTTCCGTTTTTATTTGTTTCTGAATCAGAGTAACAGAGGCTGAAGCCATCAGGAGCTTTATGATCAGCTGTTACCTGTCCAGACGCTCCTCAAACCAACCAGCCGACCGCACAACTGAGCCCAGTCAAACGGGACGTTTCAGAAACACCTTTGTTAGATTTTTAAATGCGTTTTCAGGTGAGTTTAGGTTATAGCTTCATATTTTTGTCATTTGTGCATTTTCTGTTTTCTGGTGTGTAATTGTGGTTTAGATCTACACAGCAGAGGGAAACAAACCTCATATAATCTGGGTCACTTCTCCTTCTCCACACAGCTGAACTCTTTTCTGCAAACTTCCTCTGAGCCTCTTCAGAGCAGGCGTACACTTCACCTCCAACCCCGGTCAACCACAGCGGGGATGTTCTCTTGTAAAACCTCGCGTTCTTTAGCCGCAGAGGCGAGCTGTCAGGCAGAAACACGCCTGGATTCATTTAACCTCATTTACATGTCTAATGTCAGAGTTTGAAGACTTTTTCTGTTAGACTCAATGAAACTGAGAAAAACATCATTTCTGTCAGAACCAGAGTGCAGAGGCTGAAGTGTGTCAAACATCTGGAAAGTTATGATCACCTGTTCTAGATTTGTTCTTTTAATAGATTTTCCTGCTTTAGAACATGTTATGAACTTTAATAAACAGGTAAAGCTGTAACGACATGTTAGTTTTGAGCCACAAATGCCGGAAGTTTCATTTTATCTGATGATTTATAGAATCTGGTTAAAGTCCTGAGTTAGAAAAAAGATATTTGTTATTGTTAAAATGATTTATTGAATTAGATGTTTTAAGACAGAAAAACAGCCTAAAAGCTCTCATCCACTCATTTTATTCCACAAACCTGCTGTGGTGTTTAGTCTGAAAGCCTTGTGGGTCGTTCTCTGCGGGGAGAAGCTCTGGCGCTCCTGTTTCAGGAGGTGGGAGTTTGGCGGAGGAGTGGGGGGCAGAAAACAACAGGCTTAGAGTCATACTCATGAATATTCATGATATGCAAAATTCTCTCCTCTCATTGGCTAATAAGAATTCAACTCTTCTGCTGCCTTTGTTCGTTCTATTTTGGATAAAAACGTTGATGTTTTATCTTCATAAATTTCGCAAGCTAGAACGTGTTCTGCCATGTTGTGGTGTTGCTAATGCTAATGGTTAGCTTCTACTAGCTGAGACATGCTCTGCTCTCCTTCCCATGGGTGGTCCCAAGCCAAGGTGGGTGGGACCATGACTACTTATTTTCTTTAACGTAGAAGAATGTCTGTTTTCTTTCTGCGGCTAATGCAGGAGACAGGGTTTGGAGAACATTTTCAGCATGCGTGTGAAACCCAGAGTGACCAATGGTTTTTCAGAAAGAACACATGTTACACAGTTACCATGGGAACCAGAGCTTAAGTGTCTTCCTGAAGGCACCTTCTAAGCTAATTTAAAATATAAAGGTTTAAAGACGGTCAATTGGGATCAGGTGTATTCTGGAATTTAACCATTTAATAACCAGTGTGCTGGTTGAACATTTGAGTCCCGTATCCTAATGAAATATCCACATCTGCATAAAGAAACTACTAAACTAGGTCAAGGTCAGTTTTATTAGTAGATGACATTTAAAACAGCAGTTGTTGACCAAACTGCTTCACAACACGAGGAACAGATTAGATACAATAATAAACATGAAATAAAACAAAACAATAAAATACATGGAGATGTTTGAAGAGTTCAATGATATTACAAACTGTTTTTGACCAAATTTATTTAAAAAAAAATCTAAACTAAAAATAAAATAATTCTGCTTTTCTTTGTGAGAAAGTCATGGTTTAGTGAAACAAACCATGAGGGTTGAGCACTAAACCCTGAGGCGTCCCTTCAGGGAAATGATGGTGAATGTTAAAGTTTAGTGGTCGTCATTATGGGATGTTTTCAGAGGCACTTAATGATCAACCCAATATTTGGTGTAGATGCACTGGAAACCGTCTTTGGCCATGGCTACAATTTTCCCCAATAAGAGTATTCATCAGCAGCAGAGGTGTTTCCTCGTCGTGTGCTTAGGAAATTTCCCACACACTAAAGGTTTAATAGGTTTATTTTTAACTGAATAACATAATTATCTGCTTTTCTTTCAGCCCAGTGCTGCATGAATCAGGTTAATACAAAAGCCAATTTTGTTGAATGTAAAAAAGCTGGAATGGTTGACAACCAACTCTACCCCAAAGACGTAGAGAAAACCACCAAGTACAGCTCCAATCAGGGCTGAATTTAAACCAGTTCAATTCAGTTCATTAAAAATGCCAATTCAATGTTCTGCATATCATCTTGAATGTACACGGTACAATGGGTGAAAGTGGAAATGAAAAACTCAGTTTAATAGAAAGCAGCCGTGCAGCAGCATTCTGCACCAACTGAAGACGCGAGAGGTGGGATTGTGAAACACCAAGGTACAAAGAATCACAGTATTCAAGTCTTGATGTATTAAAAGCATGAATCACTGTTTCTAAATCCTTTTTAGACAGCAAGGTCTTTATTTTGGCGATCCTTCTTAATTGATAAAAACTAGATTTAGTCACTGCACTGATCTGCCTGTCCCAGATAAGATCCCTATCCAGTACAACACCCAGAGAAGTCACACAGTTTCAAGAATGGGGCAAGCTGACCGACATCCACTGCACCCACCCTAGACAAAGTACTTGGACCAAAAACTACATCCTCTGTCTTTTTATCATTAAAAAGAAGGAAGTTAAAGAACATCCATTGTCTAACCTCAATGAGACAATTTAAAGGAGACCATGAAGCATGACTGTGGCCCCTCTTAAAAGGCACGTACACCTGGGTATCATCTGTGTAGCAATGAAGGTGACACCCATGTTTCTTAAAAATCAAAACAAGAGGTAGCAGATACAAAGAAAACAACAATGGGCCCAACACAGAACCCTGGGGAACCCCGCAAGAAAATGAGGCATTAGAGGAAGTAAAATCCCCCAATGAGACACTGAAGGTCCTGTCAGCCAGGTACGACACAAACCAATCCAGCGCGACCCCGCGAACACCCAAAAAGTGTTACATCCTAGAATCAGGAGAGCACGATCAACAGTATCGAACACAGCCGATAGGTCCAACAATACCAAAATAAAGTCTCCAGAGTCAGTTTCCAATAAAATGTCCATAAAAAGTCGGAGCAATGCCGATTCTGTACTGTGGGCTGCCTTAAAACCAGACTGGAATTTTTCCAAAATGTAATTTACCATCAAATACTCAGTCAACTGTGAGAAAACTATCTTCTCCAGTACTTTAGAAAAAAAAGGAAGTCTGGAGATAGGACAATAACTGGACAAGGCAGATGAGTCGAGTCCAGCCTTCTTCAGTAAAGGCTGAACAACCGCATGCTTCCAGTTCCCTGGTACCACTCCGGAGACAATGCTCTGATTAATAATGGCAAGAGCCCAAAGACCAACTGATAAAAAACCTTTTTTAAAAGCCTACGGGGCATCAAATTCAAAGGAGAACCAGCAGGTTTTAAAGAGTTAACATCCCAAAAGCAGTCCAACCTAAGTGGCAGAAACTGACTAAAAGTAGCTGAACAGGAACCGAAAAGAGTCTGACAGGGGACTGACGGAATCTGAGCTCTGATATCGACTATTTTGTCCACCAAAAAACTTATTGGATGAGCATTCACATCCAATAAGGCAGAACTAGGAGGTGTAGGAAAGTCGTCAAAGGCAGTAGAGAAATGAGCAGCACTTGAAGGGTTAGTAAGTCTAACTTGCTGAGGGTGCATAGAGGCTCCCACAGTCATATCAGACAGAAACAGCGTAAACAACACCGGCATGTGGTCTGAGAACATAGCATCACAAGTCACCAAGTCAGATACCAACACACCACATGTTAAAACCAGGTCGAGTGTGTCCACGTTCCTGGGTTGGGGCACAAACATGCTGCACCAAATTAAGAGTCCACAATTGTCAGTAATTCATTCACTGCTGATTTGTCTGGGCAACAAGTATGAATATTAAAATCACCTAAAATAAGCTACCTATCATAGTCTGGCAGCATTTGTGCCAAAAGCCCAGCAAACTCTGCCAGAAAGTCCTTGTTGTACTCGGGTGGACGGTACACCACCATGCACAGCACGGGGTCATTAGACCAAGTTCAAACAGGTGACCTTCACAACTGCTGAGAGATGGGAAGGGGGAAGTCACTTACTTTTAAAAGAGTCCTTTAAAGCTGTTACAGTTCCACCTCCACGTCCTGACGTCTGAGACGAGTTAAAATAGCAGCACCCCGGACTCTGAGGCAGTAGTTCAGAAAAAGTGCTGGACTCACTTTCAGGAGATGTCCAGGTCTCCCAAATACAGAGAACATCCAAACCCTTGTCCATGACGAAATCCCTGATGATAAACATTTTGTTTGATCGAGACCTCGCGTTAGCCAGTCCAAACTTAATGGCTGGCCCGACGCTTGGCCAAGGAGCATTACTCCCACGCTACCGAGGACAGGAGGACTAAATATAGCGATGGCGATCCATCCATACAATATTGTGTTTTGTGCTTTGCATATTTTATTATCTTTCAGAATTTTGCACATGATAATGCATTTTCTCTGCTCTGCTTTGTTACAGTGAGAGAAAATGAGTTTTATTGATGAGCTGAAGCTGAATGCTTCACTAACTGATGATGATGATTATTATTACTCCACCTACAACCCCGAAGATCTTATTGGACCTTGTTCCTTCAGTAACAACAACAGTCTGAGTACTGTAATCGGACCTTATATCCACTCCATCATCTGCTTCCTGGGCTTCGTGGGAAACAGCCTGGTGATCGTCACCTACGCGCTCTACAAGAGGACCAAGTCCATGACCGACGTCTACCTGCTTAATGTCGCCATCGCTGACCTGCTGTTCGTGCTGGCTCTGCCTTTCATCGTCTATAACGAGCTGTATTCGTGGCCGATGGGGCCGGTGGCCTGTAAGCTGCTTCGCGGCTCCTACAGCATCAACATGTACAGCGGTATGCTGATGCTCGCCTGCATCAGCACAGACCGCTACATTGCCATCGTCCAAGCTCGCAGGAGCTTCGGGTTACGCTCGCTGTCTTACAGCCATGTCATCTGTGTCTGCATCTGGGTCTTTGCCTTGCTGCTGTCCATCCCTTCCTTTGTCTTCTACCAGTGGTACGAGCCAACAAACCACTTAGTCATCATGATAGGAGGAAATAACCAGACTGCAACGGCTCCACAGTACGTCTGTGAGATGAAGTTTGCAAACAGTGAAACAGCCACAAAGACTAAAGTAGCCCTCCCCAGCATCCAGCTAGCAGTCGGCTTCTTCCTGCCACTGCTCATCATGATCTTCTGCTACACCTCGGTCATCGTCACTCTGATGAAAGCCAAGAACTTCCAAAGACACAAAGCTGTTAAGGTGGTGGTGGTGGTGGTGGTGGTGTTCATCGTCTGCCACCTGCCTTACAACATTACTCTGTTATACGACACGGTCAGCATGTTTGATCAAGGTGACTGTGAGTATGTGGACTTCCTGCAGGCGGTGCTGACAGTGATGCAGACCATCGCCTACCTGCACTGCTGCCTGAACCCGGTGCTTTATGCCTTTGTGGGTGTGAAGTTCAGGAACCACTTCAGGAAGATCTTCAAGGATCTGTGGTGTATTAGCAAGAGGTACATGACCCCACGTCGCTTCTCCAGGGGGAATTCTGACACCTACTTGTCTACAATCCGCCGTTCAGGGGATGTATCCAGTGAAACTGGATCGTCTTTCACCATGTGAGGAGATCAGTCTAAAGAAACTTAATGTCCAAACCCGACTCTTGTCAATTTTTATAAAGAGTAAGTGAGATATGGTGACTCGAGTCACCATAGGTGGCAAAAACAACAACTTGTGGTTTGGTTATGACCAATTTTTACCTTTTGTGATTAGTGAAAAAAAAAAGTCTGCTCGACTGATGGAGTGTGTGTGGATGTATTGGCGATTGGGACTATGACATCATTGCAGGGATAACATCTTATCCGTTTACCTGTTAAGTCTAGTTTATACTTCTCCGTCTGCGGAGGTGCGGAGAGAGGCAACACCATTATCCATCATTGCACGGGCTCTCCAACAGACACGCAAGCGACAGAGACCAGACCACAAACCTGATTGGTCAGGATGCTGCTTCCTTTAACTTTGCCAACAACACCGCCATTCCCTCTAAAAATAATACGAGTGCTTAAAGTACCTATAGGTCTGACGGTATGAAATGTTGATACAACCATGACTGAAGAAGTACAAAGGTACGCAGCAAACCTTTTATTGGTGTCAGGAAATTATGGGAAACGTGGATTTGGTGGTAGAGAACGAGGGACAAATGTCCATGTTAAAAAGTCTCTGAATACAAATATTTTGTCACATGGTGGTTGAGATCGCCTCGTTTCAAACCAGAACATCAACTTTTTTTGTTTTAAATGGTTTAAAGAGTTAAAATATGTCTCAAACTTGACAAAAAGTGTTTTAAAAATGTATAAATATCTGGCTATGGCTCGCCATAATTGTAGAGTTAAAGAGTTACAATTTAATTAATGGCCATAGACATTAAAGATCCATATCTGTCACACATTTGTCCTTTACCGGACTGCTTCATCTATCTTGTAATTTCCATTTTGTACTTTGTTATTTGTATTTTGTAATTTGAATTTCTTTTATTGTTGATTTATTCAATATATTTACTTAACTGTACCATGTTCAGCGCTTTGGGCTTCCTGACAGGGTTGCGGAAGGCGCTTTATAAATAAAGCTTTGATTGATTGATTGATTGATATCTAGTATGGATCCCATCTAAGGGACACTGGGCTATTTAAATCAGAAGATTGGTTCTTTTTATTACAGGGAAATTAAATAAACACTTTGCATGAACTGAAAGTCAAGAGAAGAGAGAGAGACTTTCAAACGTTTAAGACATTTTATTATCTAAATGATTTTAAACAGTTTAACAAAACTAACTCTCTAATGATGGATGGTTGTGGAATGAAATGTGAGGTCAATATGTGGTTATAAAAAACATGAGACGCCATTTGACGTCTCAGTTTAGAAGTGAATACACGACCTTGAGGCTGTTTCATGCACTCTGGCGCTGTGTCAAAGGGACTGTGGAAAAGATTAAATAACCTTGTCGAAATAGCTCCTTCATCACGTTACACATGAACACAATATAAACAGACAATAGCGAGCCGAAGGCTCTTCCACTTCTGGTCGGCTGAACAGGACGTAAAGCCGTTTTCTAATCCGCTTTGCCTTACGCCCGGAATCACACACATGTTGTACTTCAGTACGTACGAAGTTAAATGGTAAGTTTCAACTTTGTCTGTCAGGAGTTTGTTAGCGTGTAAAAATTCATAAGTAACATGACTACAAATCAGATGTCTCATATATATGCCATCACAGCAGTATCTCACTGACTTCCCACACGGCCAGATAGTTTGCTTTGGTTTTCTTCACTTTTATTGATCCTTCTGTCATTCTGAAAGGAAGATACGAAGCTCACTAAACTCACTGCCATGTTCTTTTCCGTGTCTGGTTTAAAGAGGTCATTATGGTGAGATGCGTTTGTAGTTCTGTACGTCTTTTCAGACAAAACCTAAAATAACTTTTGCCGCCGTTCGAAAATAAGCGCTTTCTTGGCATCAGAACGTGTTTAAAATTCATGGACGTCAAAATCGAAATCCACTGAACATAAATGGGATTACAAATGGCTTTTTCAGCCCAGTTGACTTCATTCATTTTTTTTCTTATTTCCAGTGGTGTTGCTTCACAACACTGACACACACACACCAGTGGAGAAGCTTAAAAGAGAACATCTCCATCAGTGCGTGTGTGAGAGCACTCGTATTGATGGATAAGTATGAATTAGACTTTAGATGATTCTGAAAGCAGGTTTGGTTTTTTCCTGCGTCCATTTCAACTAACTGCTGAAAAGTTGAAAATGTGTCAGTGATATTGTTTAAAGAACAGATCTCCTGTAGACTTGTGATTTTGTTCAACTCTTCTTCTGCTGCCATTCTAATTTTCCCTATTAGCGACACCTGCTTTTCAAGGACAGAACTGCTACAGTGCAGATTTTATAAACAGTTTTATTAAAGGTCAACTTCAGTCATGAAGTTCACATCTGCAGTGGTCTCTAGTACGAATTGATGCCTTGTAAGTCGTTCTCTGGGGAAAAAAGCTCTGGTGTGCGTGTTTGAGGACGCAGCGGTCAGCTGGAGGAGAAAGTAGCTTCAGACGACAGGATTTGGATTATTTTTCCTGATATTCTAACATCTCTTCTCTAATTGGGTAACAGCAATGTAACTACCACTGACTCTGTTTGCTCTGCAACGTTGATGTTTTATCTCCACAAATAACACAAGCCTGGAGGAGTTCTGCTGTGTGGTGGAGTTGCTAATGCTAACAGTTAGCTTCTACTAGCTTCTACTGCTGTTTCCTGGATGTTAAACCAACAACAGCCTTCCCCATCGTGAGTCCAGATGGGTGAGTCCATGAATGTTAGTGACAGTGTGACGTAGATCTGTCAGGATTTTCTATCCTAGAGTTTCACCATCTGTTTTCTATCAGAAGCTACTGCAGGAGATAGGTGTAGGAGACTATTTTCATGTTCAGCCTGCATGAAACACCCAGAGTGACCCGTTAGAATCAGAAACAATCATTAAAAGTGGTTTCTCAGGGATGCTGATCAGCTGAATAAATAAAACGAAGGCTCAAATCTGACGACATTCTGCAGAATAATTTGGAGTGGTTCTTGGTTTTAGGGAGACTGATCCCAAACAGGGAATTTCCTTAACATCTTATATCTTCAGGTTTTTGGTTAAATGTTGTGTTTTCACCTCAGCATGGAAAATGTTGAGCCTGCGGTGCTTTTCCTTCTCCGAAGCGCTTCCTTTTGGAACCTTAACGCCTTTTAATGGATTCCACTTCAGACTCAGGTTTCTTAAACTTTAACTTTACAGCAGAGAATGTGTTTTCTGAATGTAACAAATAAAGGTGAAATTTCATGTTTGCATTTTTATGATTTATCTGATTAAATATTTTTCAATTTAAAAATCTTTCATTTGTGGAAATGATTATTCAGACTATATTTTATTCCTCTCCATCATGTTGCGGCCGTCACAAAGACAGTAGATGAATAGAAGAGGTCTCACTCTTCCTCTGACGACTGCTCTGATCCAGTTCTAGCTGTGACTAAATGCAAATCTGCAACGCCTGCTTCCAGAGGGTTAAGGACCACTGCTCTACAAATAATATTATTTCCATTGATGACATCATCAGTGACAGGAAGAAATTTGGGGATTCATAAAGGGATTCCCATAAATCTGACCCTGAAGGCATATTTAAAGGAGCAACAAGTATGAATTCAACAGTGAAACAATCACAAAATGGTCTGATGTCTCATTCATGTTAAAAGGAAAGATGCACTGAAACAGCTGGGTGGGGGGTTGCCAGTTTCTCTACTTTGAAAATGGCCACAGAGGGATGTAGATGCTGTCTACAATCTGTGAGCCCGCAAGGTTGTTGAGTAGTGCCAGCATTTGTAATACGACACCAGCCGGCAAAACCCGGAAGCAGGAGCGACCCAGAAGTTATTTATGTCTGCTCCCTAGCCCCTGTTGTCTTGTTAGCACTGGCTAGTCTTACCTCTTTATCCTTGTGTTGAACCCTGTTTGTCCTGAGGTGGTTGTCGGTTCATCTCTTCCCTTGCCTTGCTGCTCGTTCCATGTCCTGACTTTCTAAATGAACATTTAAAACTTTCTCAACTGCCTCTTAGAGACAGATTCACCTGCATTTAGATCCACCTCACCTTCCCACAACAAACCCCTGAAGAAGCCACAGCATTTGGTTTTTTACTCTCATTTTGGGTGAAGCAGGCCTGAGGCTAACCGTGAGCTAACACTGCTAACAGTGAATTAGAAGCAAACAGTTGGCTCTAAAAGTTTTTCAGGCTACTTTTTCATTCACCGACATCCATGGATGGATGTTTATGACTCGTCATCTAGAATCTTCTGGTTCTGATCCGTAACTAGCAACGCTTGCTCAGAGAGGACTTGTTTGCTTTGAAACAGGGACTGCAGTACCCACATTTCACCGCAGGATGTCATTCATGACACCAAATAAAGAAGAAATTATGTCCGAGAAATTCCGTTTCATCAGATTTTCTCAGAAATGTTCCTAATTTGTTTATTTAGCCCACATGTTTGTGAGCCTCAGATACATTTTTAAATACTTTAAGAGGTTTTAAACAGAGAAAAGGCAACAAGTTAAAACTCAGTTAAATCTAACAAAGTTTTCAGGATTAGTGGAGCTCAGAGTTCAGCAGCAGCTGTTTGTTTCTGCGTCTCAGAGGAAACATCCATCCTTCCGGCTCTTGGAGAGTACAGACACTTTTTTCTCCTCTCCCTCCATGCTCTTCCCAAGGCTCTCTGTCCTGTCTGCCTGTGCACTGCGCTTTTCTGCATTTTTTCTGCAAACTGGAAATTATTAAACATGAATCTGGTCAGTTGGTCTCTCAACGCGATTGACAAAATCTTTTCAACGATGAGAACGGGAGATGGGGCTCCTGGATGCCCCTCTGGGACAGAACCAGCTGGGTGTATCATGGACTCCTGGAAACAGTGGGACCTGATCTGCCTCTCTCAATGATTCTTAAGATGTCTGGATATTTGTCGTTTTGGTGTCGGGATTCCTGCTGTTTGGCCTGAGCGGTTACCTGGCATACCGGAAAATTAATGAGCTTTCCAGGAATATTTTCCTAATCCCGGAGCTCAGGGATGGAATGCATCGTGCTGTAAACTCACAAACTCATATAATTGTCGAGATGAGTTGTAAGCTCAGAACTTTGGCTGAGATTCAGGCTCTGGCACAGAAGGTTGATTCAATTAAGGAGAGAGTTGATGGACCAGCACGGATTGGGATAGTTTGATAACGCCACTATTGGACCTGGAGGGGTTAAAGACAAACAGAACTCTAAGGCAGAGAGGAAATCATCTCTGCCTGTACCCGAAACAATTCTTATCTGAATCTGGTGCCCTTGAAGCCTGTTAGGTGGAAGTGAAAACTCCCCTCAGAAGAAATGTGGAATGATGTCGTCTCTATGAAAACTCTTTCTCCCTATCCAGGCCTGGCCGAGACTGTGACCGGTGAAGGCCGTGGAACCGTCTCAAGGATTCAATGTGCTCTCTACCCCATTATCCCCCCCCCCCCCCCAACGGAGGTGATGAGCGCTGCTCTTGCAGCTGCACACTCTGAAGTGAGGAGAGTCCCAACCCTACCTCCCCACCCAGTGCACACTTATGTTATGTATCATGTGAAGCCTGGGTGCATGTCTGTCTGAGGTGGTTTTTTTGCATAGCAAAGCTATCCTCTCTGTTGAGGGTAACTCTGAAGTGCCTTTTTTCCCCTCCCCCTGATTCTATCCTGTTGTAAACCCTCTTGATCTATAACGGTAGCGCGACTCGTGTTGCAAATGACCACAGTAATCCAATTCCTGTCATGTGTCTATGTATGTGTGACTGATCTTGGAATTGTGTGTACTGAAACAATTGAATTTCCCTCTGGGATTAATAAAGTATTTTGAATTAGAATTTGAATGTGTTTGTTCCCCCGGCCTAAATGTGAATTCATTCCTGCTTTAGATTTACCATCAGGTTTGATGAATCGGCCTCAGATCCATTAATGGTGGAGTTCAGCTGCAGGGCGACCTCGCCTCTCTGCAGCGACAGACGCTGTGTGATGTCACTGCACAGGAACGAGTCTCTGTGGACGAGTGAATCTCATTAAAGCCAGAACACTGCAGCTCTGTGACTCAGACCAGTCCTGCAGGAAGTGTAGATGTATTTACAATTTAACCATTAAATCAGACCTCAGAGCTGCAGACGGAGGAAACCTGTTAGAAAGATTTATTCTAAATGTAAACATTCCCAAATGTTCCTGTCGGATCGAGGACAGAAGAATTATTCTAGCTGTCAGGAAGGCTTCAGGCTAAAAGGCCGGGCGGACGTTCCACTGAACCTCAGACCGTTTTACAAAAACTCAAATATCATAAGTTTTTCACACAAGGCTGATTCTTTTAGACATTTCCATGCTTTCGTTCTTTTTAAACACAGAAACAGTTTTGTTTACCTGTTTTGTAGCTACAGTTTCGCCGACGGCTGCCGGCTTCTTCAGGCTGACGCTGATGGTGGCGGAAGTGACGCGCCACCATCAGCGTCAGCCTGAAGAAGCCGGCAGCCGTCGGCGAAACTGTAGCTACAAAACAGGTATGTTTCTGTGTTTAAAAAGAACGAAAGCATGGAATTAGAAAGACACAGCAAGAACACACCTAAGATCTTTTAGACATTTATTAACAATTTATTATACAGATGATCAGAGCTGTTTGATGAGATCGAACTGTGATTTAGTCTGATCAAACACATTTTTAGCTGTGATCATCCTTTGGCCCAGAGCCGAGAATAAATATAGGCTCCGTTTAGCCATCATTTACCAATTAATGCCATTTCTACCTGGCATCTGTGTTTGGATCAGTAATTCCCATCCGACTGTTCCCTGACTCCCTTACTCTGCAGGACAACTTTTGAGTTGATGCCTGAAGCCTTTCATCTGAACGGTCATTCGTTACCATGGTAACTTTTGTCCTTTTCTTTCCTCCGAATGAAGATTACTTAAGAAATGCTGCACCAAAAGCCTCAACCGTAGCAGGAATGTGATCAAACATCTCCAGGAGAGGAAACCTCCCGCAGGAGGGAGGGGTGTGGTCCAGCAACCCTCTGATCTCAGCATCCAGGAGGTGAAAGGCTTTGATCCAAAACAAAACAAACATTCCTGTTGGATCTGAGGGAACTTCCGGTCAGTTTTAGATCCGAAGAGTCACTTTTTAAGGTTGTTGGTGATAAAAGTGTTTCAGAATAAAAAGATCCATGTTGGAACTCGAACCAGCAACCTCTCCGTTCTGACGGTTTCATCCAACCAATGGCACGTGCAAGTCTGTCCCGGTTCGGATCACTTGTCCTGGCCGAGGCTGAGCACAAACGGCACCAGGGTCCCTCGGGCCTCGGCGGGAGAGCTCAGCGGCTCCGGTAGGAAGCCCTCGTGCTCCTCGCGCATCTCGAACTGCAGCGTGTGGCTCCGGTTTACGCAGTAGATCCGGTCTCCAAGCACCGCGCAGCGGAACGGCTGTGGGTTCTCCAGCGGGAAGGACGCGCCGGCGAGCCACACTTTCACCACCGTGTTGTACCGGAACACGTTCACTGCCGCGCGCTCCCGGTCCACATCGAAGCGGTACACCAGGCTCTGGTGCGCCACCATGTCGGTGGAGCGCCGCCGGCTCTCGTTGAACGGACACTCCTCCCACTCGTTCCGGCGGGAGTCGTAGCGCAGCAGCCGGTAGAAGAGCGAGCCGCCGGACACGAACAGCTCCCCGCCGCACGACGTGGCCTCGTGCGCCACCGCGAAGGAGCCTTTGGGCAGCGGGGCCACGTGACTCCACCTGTCCGCGCGCGGGTCGTAGCGCTCCACGGTGAACAGACACTCCCCTCCCACGGCGTACAGGAACCCGTCCATGGACACGAGCCGCAGCTGGCAGCGCGCCTGCGTCAGCGGCCGGATCTGGGTCCAGAGTCCGGTCAGCGGGTTGAAGCAGAACACCCGGTCCGAGGCTTTGGACCGGCCGTCCCCGTGCGTCCGGAGCCCCCCCGCCACGAACAGGTAGTTGTACATGGTGCACATCCCGGAGCCTTTAGCTGGGACCTCCTCCGGGAGCACGGTCAGCACCTCCCACCCCTGGGTGTCCGGGTGGAGGTAGAACACACGCCGCTGGCTCGGTTCCGGCTGCGGGCTCTGGGACCGGACCCTGTCTCGGCTCCCCCCGCGCTCCAGAACCTCACTGGTCTCGGCCACCGCCAGAACCTTGCCCCCTCCCATCCTGAGGGTCAGGATGAGCTCGCGCTCCCCCGCCGTCAGACGGCCGAACAGGGCGGGGTTCCGCAGCACCTGCAGATAGTGGTCACTCATGTAACGGAGGACCCGGTCCCGGTTCTGGTCTCCCGCCGCGCCCTCACGCTTCGCTTTGGTCAGGAGCTCAAAACAGTTTTCTGCGCTGATCTGCGGCGTTTCCGCAGCCTCAGGTCCGCAGCGGGAACAAAGCTCCCCAGTGACGTCGGTCTGCATCTCCTCAGCGGTCTCCATCCCATCCGGAACCACTGGACTGGTTCGATCCGAGCTCTGTCAGAAGATCCAGACCCTTTCCTCCTCACGCCCAGTTTCTGCCCACTCCTTCATGTAATCTGTTGCTTTCACCTCCTCCTCCTCCTCCGCTGCCGGAGCTCCGCTGGTTCGGTGCCAACGCCCTCTGACTCTGCAGACGAACCGGAACTCTGACGGTCCGTTGTTGAGAACACAGACCGGAACGGTAGCGCATCCCGAGCCCCCTGGGGAGTGTGCGAACAGCTGATTATTGAAACATCTGGACTGATGTTCTACCTGCAGGCTTCATACAAAGATCCCAGGACTGTGGATGTTTTATTTTAACACTTTAATGTCCACACCGAGAGAGAAAGGGTTTCACCATAAACACAAAACAAAAATGTGAATAAAACTTTTCTGTTAAATAAACCCAGGCTGCTTCAGTCAAACCCGAACAGGAACTCGGAGCTGTCCGTGGTGCTGATCCTGGATCAGAGTTTTTTCTTCTCTAAATCAGATCCGTTCAGCCCGAAGGTTTGATCAAACAGCTCTACCTGCTGGACAGAAGTCAGAATCACAAGAAGGATCTTCTCTAAAATAACCAAGAAAAGACAAAAGTTTGGTTCTGAAATCAAGTTTCGGTCGCATTATAATTAAAGTCAAATGATCAGAAAATCACAAACAGCTGCAGATCTTTCTTGATTCCATGGAGACAAAAGCCTTCTGGATAATACATCAGAACGTTTCCACACCAACATTCTGACAGAAATCTTTCCTGTTGAGACGATTAAAGTCTAACTTTATTTTACAAATCTGACCTGCTCATCTCGTCAGCATGGTTAGGCATCAGTAAAGGTCCATCAGCGTTTCAAGCATGATGTTTTCATGGATTCTAAAACGAGCTAAAAGCTGAAAACTGATTTAATTTTTGCTGTAAGGTGATGAAGTTCAGGCGAGTGTGGTGGCAGCAGAACCATCTCCAACGCCTTCATAGGTGACGGTGTCGTCATCAGCAGCATGAGCAACCTGTCAGATTAAACAACACCAGCTATAATCCAGGATTTTACAGCAGATCACTGAAGTTCATGTTTAACTCACGCCGACATTGTTTTGAGGTGTTTTGCATCCTGAGAACAACGAGAGAGGAACCTGATTAGAAAAGGTCTGATGTGAGTTCACTGGTTCTGTTCTGATCAGAACCGTCTCACCTCTGCTTCTGATGATACCAACGCTGAGTCCAATCGTCAGGATCACAGCTGTGACTCGTAGCGTCCACATGACGGAGCTCAGAGGAGCCCGAGGCTGGAGGTCAGGGTTCAGAAGTTCTTTTCCTGTTTAATACAGAAAAGAACACATAAATGTGTTTAGTTCTGTGATTTTACAACAAATGATGCATTTGAAACAGCAGAGAGGATTGCGGGTAAAGTTTTCAGAATCTTCTGTCCTACAGGTGAACACACAGATGGACTCATATTCCTCATCTTCCTCTTTTCCAGGTCCTGGCAGCAGCGTCCCTGCCGTCCTCTAATCAGCTGATTCTTTTAACACGACCAGCTGGTTCCACTGATCGGATCAATGGAGACACACAGGACATGCCTTTCATCTGGCCCATCTGCATCCTCTAGCATCCCCATCTGTTCATCACACCTGTTCAAGGTTTCAGCTGAGCTGACAGGTTGAGGCTCCGCCCCCTTAATCCAGATTAACTTTCTTTTATCCAGAATGAAAGAACCAGGTAAAACTCCACCCTACCTGTGCAGACAGGTGCGAAGTGAGCTTCTATCCTCACTTGGTTTCCTTCAACAAACCAGCAACTGAGTCTTCTGCTTCCTCCACTTTGAAGCTTCAGAGTCAGAGAAGAACCACAGTTTGTTTGTGCTGTTGAGAAGGATCCATCATCGTCACCAGTCAGCTGATGTCCTGTTTCATCCACCCAGCGGAGGCTGTTAACTGGACAGGAAGTTTGGAAACTCCTCAGAGAACATCTCACTGTGACATCTCCGTCTGGAACAGCGTCTGCTGGAGAAACTGAAGGACAACAAGAGACAGCTGCTGTTAGACCCAAACATGAGAAACCATCTTGTCTTAGTTGAACTTCCTGGTTGTTCTGTGGAAACATCCCAGTTCTGAACAGGTATTGATGATGACACCAGAAGCATCAGGAAACATCAGCTGATGAATCAATTATGACAAAAGCTTCGTTCAGTCAAACATGTCCATCCTGAATCCCGTCTACTCTAAAACACTGAGAGCATCCATCATGATGAGGAACATCTGAAGATGTCCAATACCTTGTTCATGAAGATGAAGGAAACATCCTCTAGTTTCTGCTTTTTACAGGATTAACGACAAAGACTCGGTCTAGATGCTCACTGGTTAAAATCCTCAGATATACGTAGCTGCTTCCATATCCAGACCTACAGGTGTAACGTCCAGCATCTTCAGCAGTGATGTTGGTGATGACAGAGAACAGTTTCTGTCCAGACTCAGTCTGGCAGCTCGATGAGAACTCTCCACATTTCCATTCTTAACCTCCCAATACCGATGCGTGTGATGGCCCCAGCTAACACGAGCACACGGGTAATCAGCTGGTCGGCTGTAACACGGGAGAGCAGCATCTTCTCCAGCTCTGTGGTAGAGATGTTTTCCTTCACTGATTCCTGCAGCAGAGGAAAACAAACATCACCAATCATGAAGATTTCCAGTAAGTGAAGTAATCAGTCTAAATAATCATGTCTACAGGTTTTTTACATTGTAAAGTTTTTAAAACACATTTTCTCTCTTATAAGTATAAACTCTCTAGCTCCTCCCCTCCGAACTCCAACAGGGAGCATAAGCCACGCCCATCTACCTCTGCATCAGGGTCACTGGAAGTAAGAAAAAATGAATGGAACCATAAAAGCTATTTCTGATCTCGTTTGTTACGTTCCATGGATTTCACATATTATGATGTTTGTGGGTTTTAAACACACATTTTGATACTAAGGAAGCACTTTTTTTCAAACTGTGGCAAAAGTTATTTTAGGTTTTGTTTGAAAATCCGTGTAGAACTACAAATGTGTCGCACCATATTGACATCATCGAACCAGACATGGAGAAGGGAAATGGCTCTGAGTTTAGAGAGCTTCGAATCTCTTCCACAACGACAGAGGGAACAATAAACGGGGAGAAAGCTGCTAAAACTCTGGTCATGTGGTCAGAAAGTGAGCTTCTGTGGTGATGTCACATATGTCACGCCTGATTTAGTCATTTTAGTTACGAATCTTTCAGGGGCGTGTCCAGGGAGTGGCCTGGGGTAGCACATGCCACCCTTGGAATCTGACTGGCCACCCCAGGTGCCACCACACTGATTTACCTTTAAATAGGCTTTTCATTGTCCACAAAAGGCTTGGGGGTAAAACAAGAAAAAGCATAACCATTGGTGCCACCCATGCACAAAGTTGTGCCTCACCTGGGCCACCCCATTTTAAAAGATCTGGACACGCCACTGGAATCTTTACAAGCTAACTAATCTCTAAGTACACGACAGACACAGTCAACACACAGATAATTATTTATCATTTAAACTGAAGGAGAACATGTGTGTGACTCAGGAAGTAAGGCAAAGCAGATTAGAAAACAGCTGTTACATGTGTGTGTGTGTGTGTGTGTGTGTGTGTGTGTGTGTGTGTGTGTGTGTGTGTGTGTGTGTCAGTAGTTGTTTGTTTTATTTCAAACACTTTGAAGAATTTCCAGCCGGGGGCACTGTTGTCTAATCAGTAGCCGATTGATCCATGTGAAACCAGAAGTTGCCCATTTCATATGAAACACTAGCTTAGTGACCAAATTCTTGCTATGCTACATTTATTTAGTCTGGCTTGCCAGGCTAATGAAACACAGCTGTGTTGATAAAGACAAACTTTCTGCAAGAAAACACGCCCTGGCTGAGCTAGGAGATGGAGCTTTGACTCAAACAAACCATCAGAATGGAGGTACATGTTTAAGAAATGTTTGGACATTAATATTGAGTTTATTCGCCTCTGCCAGTGCGCCCCAGGGCAGCTGTGGCTACATTGTAGCTCATCATCATCAGTGTGTGAATGTGTGTGTGAATGGATGAATGTTACACTGTAGTGTAAAGTGCTTTGGAGTCCTTACTCTGAGAGGCGCTATACAAGTGCGGGTCATTTATCATTTGTTCAGGGTGTCCCCCAGCTCTAAGCCATGTGACAGCTGGAGTCAGACACCATCTCTCAGACATGGTGGCGCACCAGAGCCTGGTGTACCGCTTCGATGTGGACCGGGAGCGCGCGGCAGTGAGCGTGTTCCGGTACAACACGGTGGTGAAAGTGTGGCTCGCTGGCGCGTCCTTCCCGCTGGAGAACCCACAGCCGTTCCGCTGCGCGGTGCTTGGAGACCGGATCTACTGCGTTAACCGGAGCCACGCGCTGCAGTTCCAGGTGCGCGAGGAGCGCGAGGGCTTCCTACCGGAGCCGCTGAGCTCTCCCGCCGAGGCCCGAGGGACCCTGGTGCCGTTTGTGCTCAGCCTCGGCCCGGACAAGTGATCCGAACCGGGACAGACTTGCACGTGCTTTTGGTTGGATGAAACCATCAGAACGGAGAGGTTGCTGGTTCGAGTCCCAACATGGGAAATAAATTCTTTAAAAATCCTGCCATGTGCATTCATGGATTTTTTTCACATTCTGTCTCTCACAGTTGAAGTGTACCTATGATGAAAATTACTGACCTCTGTCATCATTTTAAGTGGGAGAACTTGCACAATCGGTGGCTGACTAAATACTTTTTTGCCCCACTGTATCTGTGCTAACATTACAATTATTTCTATCACTCCAGTTTAAGAAGACTGATTTTGGTCAGCTGACATTTTTAATAATAATAAAAATAGGTAAATATTTAAAATAGAAAAGTGATATTTGACTATGATGGATTAGCTCTACGGCTAACTCTGCTACAGGAAGTTGTTCTCTACACGACTCCTGATGAACTAAACTTCTCAAGTTAACTTTGAGTCGTTTCTAAGCTTCATCACGTGAAACCAAATTAATTTTTACCTTCAAATTGAAGCAGCAACACCAGAATTAACTCCAGCAGCAACATTTCATCTGATTCCATCAGCAAGACCCTTTTCTTTGTTTAACAGCTGAAGATGATGTTTCCTGTTTCTGACGGACTTGATAGATAAAGAAAACCATCTCCGCCTGCCCATCGTGGTGTTAAGATTAGATCACATTTCCCCATTCTTCTAAAAAAAAATCATAAGAAAGCAGTCATTTCCTTTTTAGTAGTTTGAAAACGCTTGACTAGAGGCCGGGCCTCCTCGAGGCTCCTGAGCTGTGGAACGACCTCCTGCTTGAGGTCAGACAAGCACCTTCACTGCTGGTTTTATCCTGTGCTGTTCCCTCAGTGAGTGTTTTATCTATATATTTTATTCTGTTTTATTTACATTTTTCGCTCTTATTTGTTTTTATCTCTGTTGGCCCTTGCAGCGACCATTGTTGTTTTAATTTTGTCTTTTATGCACGAAACACACTTTAATTTGTCTCCTGGTTGACGGAAAGGGCTGTAGAAATGATGATGATGAAGATGATAAGTTGAATGTTTAGACTTTAGCTGATCAGTTTTACTGCCAGTAAAAATAAACACCATGAGTTCTGTTTACAGCAGGGGGGATACATGTGACACTGATGGTCACCCCAGTGCCTTCTGGGACTGTGATGCTGTGGACCAGTCGTATTTCAGCTCTGGGATTTGGTCCATGCTGCTGGGCATCAGGAAACAGCTGATTTCTGTTTGTCTCTCCTCACGCTTAGACTACTGTAACTCTCTTTTCACGTGTCTGAGCAGAACCTCCCTGAACCGTCTACAGGTGGTTCAGAACACCTGTGCTCGGCTTCTGACCAAGTCCTCCAAACACACCCACATCACCCCGCTTCTCCTCCAGCTTCACTGGCTGCCAGTCACCTTCAGGGTTCATTTCAAGATCCTGGTTCTGGTCTATAGGGCCTTACATGGACAAGCACTGTCCATTACAAACCACCAAATGGTTCCCGAGCGCGGCTGTGTCTGCAGCTCACCGCTCCCCCAGGGGATGGGTCAAATGCGGAGAACAAATTTTGCATGCACATCAGTGTGTGTGATAACTGATGGGACTTTAACTTTAACTTTTAACATTGGTGCTCTTCTCAGTCCCTTCACCCCCAGCTGGTCCCTGAGGTCCAGTGACCAAAACCTACTGGTTGTGCAGCACCAGGCTAAAGGTCAATGGTGACAGATCATTTGCTGCTGTGGCCCCCAGACTCTGAACCTCTCTCCCCCTGAGCCTGAGACCAGTGGACTCAGTGGTCTCCTTTAAACTCACCTATGCAGGCTTTGGTGGGACCTTCATCACCCCCCTCTCCTTGTTCTTCTCTTTTTCTGCCTTTCCTGGGATCCACTGATTTCCTTCTTTCCTGTTCACTTTCTCTCTCTTTCTTTACATTTCTTTACATTTTAAACATTTTTAACAATTTTTTAAAAATCTTTATTTTTAAAGTTTTTGTTTTTGTGAAGCGCCTCAAGATTTCTGTCTTGAGAGGAGCCAAAAGATGTTTTTCTTTCTTTCAATAATCAATAACTGATCATGTTTCCATTGAATCGTGTGTGTGTGTGTGTGTGTGTGTGTGTGTGTGTGTGTGTGTGTGTGTGTGTGTGTGTGACCCACATTCCATTGCTGCAGGAGAAAAGGCTCAAGTTCCTTTTCTGAAAATATGTATTTTCTAATTAAAGTTGTTCATTTTCGGACGATTAGTTGATGCTCTGAATGTTTTAGACACCGCAGCAGCGAATGTAAAATAATTTCAAATAACTGTTTGGTTGTTTGTTTGAAAGTTGTTAATAAAGGTTTTTTTAAAGCATCACAGCGACCAGCATCCCGGCATGCGTTGCAGTCGATGACACAACGCTCCCTATCTCAATTTGGCAACTATTTGTACACTAGTGTACCACGAACTCGAAGCCTTGCTCCAAGTGCACTTGGCTGAAGACGGCAGGGCGGTTGTTGGGATTGGTTCACAGTCCAAAATCAGCTGACTAGTTATTAGTTTACTGGACTTTTCCATTGTGTCGTTGTTTTTATTTATCCTGTGAAAAAAAAGTTTTTTAAAGAGTAACTAAAGCCCAAAATAACATTTTTTGCTAATTAACTGTATAATTGGGTCTTCACAAATGCAATCTTTCTGTTTCTGTGCATTTTTTGAAATCTAGAGTCTAGGTCTAACAACGACTCAGTGCTGCCCCCCGTGGCAGAACAGCACTACTGCACGCTAAACGTGTGATCGGCTGGGGCTGGAACAGTTTCCTCCCACTCCCCCTCCCTCCCAGGATGG